CACACACACACACACACACACACACTCGTTTTCATACTCTTTTTCATTGAAGGTTATTACAAGATAATGAATATAGTTCCCTCTGCTGTACAGAAGAAATTTGTTTTTTGTCTATTTTTATAGTGGTTAACATTTGCAAATCTCAAACTCCTAAATTTATCCCTTTCCACCCCCTTTTCCCCAGTAACCATAAGATTGTTTACTACATCTGCAAGTCTGTTTCTTTTGTAGATGAGTTCATTAGTGTCCTCTTAGAATTCTCTTTGTGAGATCTCCAGAATTTGTTTCCTGTAAACAAGTTTATGCTGTGTGTTTAATAGAATGAGTAAAGTAGATATTTATGAAGTGTAATTCAAAGGCTTTTTTTTCAAGCATTATTCATATGTAAGAACTCATTTACATATATAGTAAGTTTGGAGTTCTTAGTAAGTTTAGAGTTCTATGTTTAGTTTCTTAAAATAAGTCAATGTGTTAAAAGTGGAGAAAACATACAACCGAGTTTATTAATAAAGAACTGAAAAACTGTCTGTCATGACATGTGAAATAGATGATAGGATAACTCAGTGAATGAACACCTTTCACTAACAGGGCTGTACGAAGGGGAGGCATAATAGTGAGAAGCCACCGGAGCCTGTCAAACCTGAGGTCAAGACTTCTGAGAAGAAAGAACTATCTGAATTAAAACCCAGATTTCAGGAGCACATCATTCAAGCCCCTAAACCAGTAGAAGCAATAAAAAGGCCAAGGTATACTTTATACAGTTGTATATTTTTGTCACACTTGAATAAAAGCATTTGTTCCTGGTATTTCCTTTTACGATTTTGCATGATACCATTTGTAGCTAACTTTTGAACCATTTGGTTTTTCTTAGATAGTACTTTTCCTTTTTATTCCCCCTCAACTTGAGAGCCTGTACACAGAAAAACTTCACTGCAGATTTGTTCACTGTACCATCACAGTTATGCTCAGGGTTGGGCAGCCACGTCTCTTCCCTGTGCCTTGGTTTGTGTCTTTTTCAACCATGGCGCAGTGGAATTCGAGAAAGGAATTGTCCTATTCAGGGAATGAGTTTGAGCTGAAAAAGAACTTGGAGGTTTTTCTTTCCATTCCGCCACTGTTTCTTGAATATTTTTTAGGACATTCTTGGTAGAAAAATATTTAGTTTCCTTTCAGATAATTCTAGTGAAGGACAACTTTATTTTAAAGCAGCTTATTTTATCTTTACTAGGTCAGTATATAATTTTTCCTTGTATTATGCCAAATTCTGTCTTTTGTCCATATTTTGCCACTTAAAACAAGCTTAGTCCACTCATCTCTTACTTTCAGTTGCTTGAAAACTGTTAATCTCATTACTGATAAATTTTTAATGTATTTGATTTAGATGTCAGATCTGTTTAAGTACTTTTAAAATACCTTTTGTTCATTTTGCAGAACTGGACATTCTTTATACTCACCTTCTGATCTACTAGACTCTGTTTTACAACCCCACACATGCATGTTGGGTACCACTGTTAGACAAGGTTTTCTTCATGTTGTATTTGAGTATTGAATTGTTTTAGAACCAAAATACAGGACATAAAAACCAGATAGTTTTTGGCCTCGAGTATGGCTTATTCATATTTCTATTCACACTATAGACTCATGGTTTTTCCCGCTTTTTCTTTATTGAGCTTACTCAAATAAATTTATAGCATATTGAATATTACTGGACCAAGCTTAGAACCCTAAGAAACTTTCTGATGTTTATTTAACAAAACTACTTAAGATGACTTTATTGTTTCCACCTTATCATAATCATGAGAGCTTTTATCAAGTGTTTTGCTGGCTTATTTGCCAGTGGAACAAAATTATCAGAAAAAGATAACAATTCTGGCATGACTCACTGTTAAATATTACAGTGGAATCTACTATAATTGACAGTATGAGTCAAATTTTTTAAAATAATGAGCCAATTTCACTAAAGAGAAAATGAGAAATTATTGTATCCTAAATTCATTTGTCGGTGTTGTAGGGATTATGAGGATATAAGTTTTTATGTACTTTTTTAATGTCTCTTATGTCAGTAGTTATGTTTTCATTAAGGATATAGTATGAGTATGCAGTTTTATTGATGCATTTATTAATATTCTTAGTACTTATGGGCTTAAACAAATTGTGCACATAATATTTAACCATTATGAAATGTTAGGGGATATTGTTACTGCTTTTTTAACCCTACTAAAATTGCCTTGTGAAGTAACTGATTCTGAATTTTTAGATGCATATACTAGTGTCCGCATAAAGGGAACGCTCTCCACCGGTGGGAATGTAGATTCACTTAGTACATATTTATTGCCTGTTTATTCCATGCTCAGTGTTTTACTTAGGCTTGGAATGTAGAGGTACTTCATAGACCCTTCCTTGGAGTTACTTATCTTGACAAATTTGGATTGTTAGTCTTTACTTCCTTCCCATTAACCCTACTGATTAATAATTTAATGTGACAATAGCATGATTATTTGAGACTTAATTATGATACTATTTTTTTCCACTAAAACTTAGAAATGTAGATACATTATAGCAGTTACTTGTAAAATACTTTTTAATGAGAAAAACTTGGTTCACGAGGCATTCAGCTTTTTTCATAAGTAGGCCCTTAAGTATATTTATTTTTAGTACAGAGAAATATTTTGATACATCAGTAATGGTTATAAAATTTCCAAATTCTCCAGCCCAGATGAACCAATGACAAATTTGGAATTAAAAATATCTGCCTCCCTAAAACAAGCACTTGATAAACTTAAACTGTCATCAGGGAATGAAGAGAGTAAGAAAGGTAAGATTTGTTTTGTATTTTAAAATTTTTTCTATTCAATTAATTATCTAAAAGAGACAGGAGCAGTTTAGTTCACTGTATATAAATATGAAAAAGTAGCATGTTACAGTGAAGATTTTTTTGTTTGTTTATTAAATGCGAGTAATACCACAGAATATGTATGTGATTTATTCCATTATGTTCTCATTAAAAATGAAAATCAAATGTTAATTAAAATTGTTTTTCTTTCCTGACTCATTACTTTTTAACAGTGAGTTAAATTTCTTTGATAGTTGTGTATGTTTCATTGTGTGTGAATATAAAATATATTCAGTATTCTCTGATCTATATTTGGTATCATGGGAGAAAAGTCCTCTTTCATGATTTCTTGTACAAGGTTATTTATTGGATGTAATATTGCATTGTAGAATAGAAATGTGTCATATTATGTATCATTCTGAGGCTATAGGGAAGGCCTGTTCACAGTAGTTGGTTTCCTGTTAACATTTAAATATGATACCCAGAAGGTCACTTGGAAAACTTAGTTACCTGAATTGTTTTAAAATATCAGTGTTTTTTGTGTTTAGATTATTTTTTAAATATTTGTTTGATGGAAAAGTTACCTTTTAAGAATGTCACCTGCAGTAAAGTGTTCTGTTTTAATGTTTCTAATTTGATTTTTTTTTCTTCATTTTAGAAGAAGACAGTGATGAAATTAAAATTGGGACTGCATGTAAAAATGGAGGGTGTTCTAAGGTATATATTGTAAAATTTGTGTCATAAAAGTAAAATTTCAATTTTGAGAAAAGAGAGTACAATTTAATGACTCAATTCAACAAACATTTTGGTGCCTATTATGTGTTGGACACTGTGCTGTGGAGCAAGGCTCTGAGTGTGGATGGATAAGACACTCTGTGACGAGCACCATATCATGGGAATAAGTAATTCTAATTTAGTCAGCATTTATGGAACACTGGCTATGTGCCAGACATTGTTTTAGGGGCTGGGATTATAGTGTTTAATAAAGCAAAAATCTCTCTTCTTGTGGAGCTGTAATTTGAAGCGAGGGAAGGATAACAAATAGGTAATTAAGTGCTAAGAATTCAGGTAAACATGAAGAAAATGAAGCAGACAAGGCGATAGAGTAAAGCTATTTAGATAGGCTTGTCAGGGAAGTCCTTTATGAAGTGATGACACTAAATCAGGAATGTAAGTACTGTCGCAGATCAGTTACGTAAACCTTGCGGTAGATATGGGGGGAGTATGTGTAGAGGCTTCGGAGCTTGACTACTCAGGGAATTATGAGAAAGGTCAGTGGGCTTGGCCAAGGGTGTGAAAGTAGGGGTAAGAGAAATAGGCAAGACTGTGGAGTCTTTACAAGCCACAGTGAGGGGTTTGGGCTTTATTCTAAGTGTAATAAGCCATTATTTGTTTGAGGGAGGGATTTTTGAAAGATACCTTTGGCTGATAAGTGGAACTTTTAATGGGGCAGGAGTGGAATCAGGAAGGAAAACCAGCTGGGATGCTGTTGTGGAGGTCCATGCAGTGGGGTATGTTTTTGAGAAGTGGTAAATGTGGGATGTAGTCAGACATCTCTGTGAGGCCTCTTTCTACCTACTCTGTGTAACATTGCACTCCCTCCAGTGTTTCCACACTCTGGTTTTTGCTCCACAGCAGTAACCACCTTACAACACACTTCTTATTCTGCGTATTTATTTTGCTTGCAGTCTGTCCCATCTAACTATCCCTTTCCTTTCTTCACTCGTGTAAGGTTTACAAGGAAAGAATTTTGTTTTGCTCTCTGCTAAATCTTGAACACTTAGAACAGTTCCTGGCACATGACAGACACGTGTAAAATGAATGATACTCAGCAGTATTAGCAGGACTTGCTAATTATGAACTGCAGGTGAAGCATGGAGGTGATCGGTACAGCGTTAACTGAGAAAGAGAAAATGGAGTTGGGGGTGGGGACAAGTTTGTAGTTTCCTTCATGTTAAATTTGAGATCACCTTGCTCATTTAGGGATGGACTAAGCAGGTATTCACAGTTGTATGAGGTCGAAGCAGTAGATAAAAGAGTCGTTAATTCTTGGGGTGAGGGAGATGGTGCAAGTGGTAGGTTAGTGGAGGAAGATCAGAGAGCAGGTGTCCCAGGTGAATTTTGAGAAGTAAATGTCAGTTCTATAAAGGACAGGAAGGAGAAGGATATCCCAAGCAAAGGTAATACAGCAGTAGTATACAGAAGGCAAAAGTATGCAGTAGTGATGGTGCACAGCTTTTTGATGTAAAGTTGAGATTAAAAGAGATGAGTAGGGGTTAGATCCTGAAAGGCTTTTATAGTGCTCAAAGGTTAGACTTCCCTTAGGTCCTGGAGGCTGTTGAAGAAATTTAAAGTTTTTCATTGAAATATAACATTATATGTCAATTAATTTTTATAGCTTAAGGGGGTTTCACAAAGCAGAGCCCTCCTTTTGCCTCCTCTCATTCAACATAGCTTAGTTTTGCCTACTTTTGAACTTAATGCGAATAGAGTAAATAATAGAATAGATACTCTTGTTTTTGTTTTCCTTTGCTTAATAAAATGTTTGTTGGTTATCTTGGTTGCATATAGCTGTAATTTATGTTCACTACTTTAAAACATGCCATTGCTTGAATGTGCCAGTTTTCCTTTGTACTGTTCTTTAATTTTTTTTGATTAATGCTACTATGAACATTATTGTGCATGACTTTTGGGATACATACACATATTTCTTTTAGGCATGTGACTAGAAATGAAGTTGGTGGTTCACTGTGTATGTCTGAGCTCAGCTTTAGCACGTAGTCCCACACAGTTGTACAAAGTAATTGTATTTACACACTCTCACCGGCAGTGAATGAGGCTGATTCCATCTGTTCTGCGCCATGGTAACACTTCGTAATATCAGTCATTTATATTGTAGCCATTCTGGTGAAGTGTTCCCATTGTGGTTTTAATTTTCACTTTCCTGATGATGATGTTGACTACCTTTTTGTATGTTTATTAGCCATTTGGATATCCTCTTTTGTGAAAGTCCAAGATCTTTTTTTATCTGTTTTTCTATTGACTTTTTAATTTTAGGAATTCTTTATACATTTTAGCTACAAGTCTTTTGTCAGAGATACGCTGTACCTTTTCACTGTCTTAATAATGGCTTTTGATAAACAGAGGCTCTTTAATTTTAATGAAATTCAATTTGTCCAGCTTTTCCTTTATGACTAGGGATTTCTGTGTCCTATGTAAGAAATCTGTTTATTTCAGAACCATGCATATTTTCTCATAATAGAGGCACATTTAAAGGTGCAAACTACCTGGAACTGCTTATTGTATAACTGTATATGATGTGAGGTAGATGTAATTAAAAGACTTTAAACAAGAGAGTGATACATATTTTAATTAGCTAGTAGAGTACAGAAATTGAAGGCAGAGAAATTAATTAGAACCAGTTAGCATAGTTTCATTGCCTATCTGCTAGTGATCATGAGGAAGTTTAGCTGACATTTTTAAGTCAAATTGACAGGATTTTGTGATAAGTACATATGGGTAGAGGGTAAAGAGAAACTGAAGAGGACTTAGAGAATTTTTGCTTAGACAGTGGATATGGTGCCATCAAATAAGATGGGAAGAAGAGTAGAAGGTTTGGGGGCAATAATGATAAGTTCAGAATTTAACATACTGAGTTTTGTGTGCTTATGAAATACCTTTAAGAGATATACATACTCAGTAGTTGGAACTTACAACAAGTAAACATGCAGAGTTTTTATTTTCTGTACTTTTAGGTGGTTGCTATAAATGCCAAAATAGACAGAAAATATACTACTGGCTGCATCTGTGTTTTATTAACATAACTTTTTGTGAATTCATCTGTAGAGCCTTCATCTACAGCAGCAATGGGGCCCGGATCTTCCAGACAAACCCTGGATATATATATAGGTCTGCAGCTCATTTTTCCCTTCGTAGGGATAAGAAATGACCACTGTAGAGCTTTCAGAATTGCATATTAGATTTTCAGTATTAATTCATAATGTTCACACAGAGTTTACTGTGCATATAAGTCATGCTATAACTGTATATCTGTTTAGAGAGCTACTCTGGTTTCAGTATTCTGTAAGTTTATAGAATATACCTGAGTATGTTCAGATGTGTCCTCATAACCAGAAGCCTGAAAGTGTCTTAATATATGCTATTGCCTACTTTTCTGTTTGCCTTTTTCACAGGGAACTGAAACTTAAGTATGTCCAAAAAGGAATCATTTTTCATTCCTTATTGGAATGGCCTGGGCTAAATATGTGAATGTTCTAGGAAATTGTTAATTATCTCATTGGCATTTTCATAGTTCATAGAGGTCACCAATACTACACATATGTGTGAAAGATAACATTGAGATGTGAGACTAATTTATTTCCTCCTTTTTCTCTTTAGACGTATCAGGGTCCACAGAGTCTAGAAGAAGTCTGTGTATATCATGCTGGAGTGCCTATTTTCCATGAAGGGTAACTTATTCATGACTAATTAAAACTTTATGGTAGAAGTTAGAAATATTAATTTGCCTTTAAACATTACTTGTCATGCAGCAATATTAAGTATTTTACTTACATGGTCATATAATCTTTAACCTCAAAATGTGGGTGTTGTCTTTTATTACACATGGGAAAACAAACAAGATTACAATTAAGTGGTCATTTTGATTCAAACCTCATGTTTTTCCTTATTCCTTTAAATTACTAACAGTGTCATACCCTTTCTGTTTGAGCTGAATAGGTTTTTATTTGAAGAACTGTCCAGGGCATTGTAGGACGTCTAGAATTTGGGGCCCTGGGGCACTAAGCCACCAACATTGTGTCATTTGAGAAAACTCATACTTTTCCACAGCTCCCAGTTGAGAGCCTCTCAGTATATTACACTGTAGCTTATAGAACCACAGTGCTGTGTTAAAATCGTCCTCTGTTTCCATATTCTTCAGGACTCAAACTCAAAATTTTACTGTAATTTTTGTCTTCCAATATTAGATTTTTTTCAAGTAAATAATAGTGGGTTTCACCTACTGACCATCACAGGTTATGTAAACATCAGTTTTTAGTTTGTTTGCATGTTTTCTCTTTCCTGGGTTATTAAAATATGCAGGTTTTCTATCTTTGGTCATAACAATGGTAGCTTCATGTGGAAACTAATGTGAACTGTCAGTGAAAAGCCTCCTTTGGATTTTGTGATGGTTATAGGCATCTTCCTCAGGAATTCCAAAATTGCTGTAATAAATGGCATTCTGGTGTTAAAGCTTTTAGTCTTGTAGTTTTAACTGTATAGTAACTTAGATACTTGTAAGAATTCTCAAGTTGCACACTTACTGATTTTTTCTTAAGTCACTTATCACTATAATACTTTGGACTTAATTTAAGGTGAGATTTTATTTCTCAAACTTTTCTATAATTTAAAGGATGAAATACTGGAGCTGTTGTAGAAGAAAAACGTCTGATTTTAATACATTCTTAGCCCAAGAGGGTTGTACAACAGGAAAACACATGTGGACTAAAAAGGATGCTGTAAGTAGCCTTTTTAAAGTAGCGCATTGGAGTGTATATATATGAGTCATTTTGAAGAGATTTGAGATTATTCTGTCTTAAGATTTTAAAAACAGTTTTTCTGTCCCTCACATGGTAAAATTTCATGGGCCTGAAAACTTAAATTTATCTGAGTCAAGCTCACAAAGCACACTGCTCTTTGATCAAAATCGCCATTGTGTATGTTGATGCAAGTATGTAGGGTTTCGTGGAATATCTAAGCCTGCCAAAATTGAAGCGTATTTTTCTGTAATTCCATAGCCTTTTCCCCCTTTTTGTTTTTTAGAAGTCTCTTTAAACTCATTTGATTAATCTAGACCTCGGATTCTCTTTTGGCTACTTAATATCATTCAACTATTTACAGATGCACAAATACTCCACCTAGTGGCCAAAGAGGAGGGTTGCAGACTTCTTTCGTTGGAATTGTTTTGAAAGCCTCTGCTAGCTACCAGGAAATTTATCAAAAGAAAAGGGAAAGCATCCCTTCCTACCTCCCTGACAGCATTTTTAAAAGCCTTGTAACTATGCAAATAATCCCCCAAAATCTCAGTTAGTTCTAAGAAGGCAAGCAATTTATCGCTAAGTAAGTGTTTGCTAGCTGTTGTTAATGTATCTTACGTTAAATTAGTTGTATGTGCTGTATTGATGCTAATAACCCCAGGACAATGAACTTTTTCAGTTTGTGTCTTTATATTTAAATTACTTTAGGAATTCATTTAGTCTACATTTGCATATTTTATAGTTTCTGCTTTTTAATAACACATGGGTTGGGTATTATAAATATATCCAGGGGGAGGGTATAGCTCAAGTGGTAGAATGCATGCCTTGCATGCATGAGGTCCTGGGTTCTATCACCAGTATCTCCTCTAAAAATAAGTAAACCTAATTACCTCTCTCCCCACCACTGCCAAAACAAAATAATTAAATAATACAGTAATAAATAAATAAAGTATAAATATATCCATTAAGTTACAATGATTTATCTACCACAAAACTTCTAGGAATGTTGTGTTAGTAAAAATAAAATCTCTTTGTATTTTCTCCAAAAGTTTGAAAGTTTTGCTTCGAAAAAATAAAATGTTATTTTATTTGCAAAAAGTTTTTAGAGTATGACCCTTGATGAAACTTTTTAAAAAGTTTTTAATGCATGTAGTTATCAAATATTGAGAGTCTAAGCTAGTAGCTAAGGGCAAAAAATGTAAGTGATAGAAGTAATTTAAATTTAGTATAACTATGAAAATACAAATAATGCTTTTTAAAACAGTATCTCACAGTTTCCTGCATTAAATTACTCTCAGTTGTAGAATAAATCACAATTCACCTCTTTAAAATAGTTATCGATATAGCAGTATACCGCTCATAGATAATAATTATTTCTATAATGGTAATCAAAAAATTGCTTCCACAAATTCTCACCTTTTTTAGTATATTATTATAAGAGGAAAGTAATCAGTAACAACAGAAGATAGTTATAACTAGTCAGTTTTTTCCCCCCATATTTCAAATTGTAGAAAATAAATAGAAGGTTCCTTTGCATGGGGTTAAGATGTAGTCTGGCTTATCCTGCTAAGCAAATGGATTTCTCACTTCAGTCTTGAGAGAATGTTTTTATGACCCTACTTAGTGGATTGCAGAATGTCAGAATTGGATAGTAGTTCTTAAGTTGTTTTTTTTCAAGGTGTATTAATACTGTGGCCCTAAAAAAAAAAGTTAGGTGGAAAAAAAAATGTTCCCAGATCATAAAACTGTAAAGATTCTTTGTATTGTGATTTATTTTATTGTTTAAACTTCTTGATGGGAGTTTTAGAAGTTGTTTGTGCTTAAAAAACATTGAGAGCTCAGTTGTGCATGATAATTTTTTCTTCAATTTAGATGGGTCGAATTCCTCTTTTTTAAGAAATTAATTATGTGGTACTTTGTAAATTCGTAAAGTTTCTTTTTTATTACAGGGAAAAAAGGTTGTTCCATGTAGACATGACTGGCATCAGACTGGGGGTGAAGTCACCATTTCAGTATATGCTAAAAATTCACTTCCAGAACTTAGTCAAGTTGTAGCAAATAGTACCTTGGTAAGTATACCAGATGTCTTTGAGTAAAAATTATCTTTATACATTATTCTTAATGTATTATATAATATTGATCTTATCTGAGCTGTTTTTAAGATCTTTTCATCTTTCCCATTTGAAAAAATAGTTTGAAATTACTTCACAGAAACTATTTTAAAGAAAATTTCTATGTAGTAATTTCTGAAGCATTATGGAGATTGTGTAGTAGCTTAGACGATTTATTAAAGAATAATGGTGCTTAGTTCTCACTATGAAATGCCAAGTTAATTTTTCTTTACTCCTAATGGTTTTCTCAAATAAAAGTGGTTCAGTATTGAGAGTTCCTTAAAACGGCTTAAATGATTTTTTATCAGTATCTCCTTATTTTTATCAGTGTTTTATATCATAAAATGTTTACTTCGGTTTTAATCAATTAATGAACTTTCTCTTTTTTAGCTGAATGTACACATTGTATTTGAAGGAGAGAAGGAATTTCATCACAGTGTGAAATTATGGGGTGTAAGTATTAAGAATCCAGCAGAATTTTTTTTTTAAATTTAAAATACCATTTGTACAATAAAAGGCAGTACTTTAGTAAGCATTGATGCAACATAAATACATAATTTACCATTATTTCCTACAAAAAAGTTTAAATCTCGGGATAGAAATGGCCTAAGAAGCTTGGGTTTTGCCTGTTAGCAGAGGCAGTGAGCACAGGCAGAGACGTGAGGTCTTGTTTGTTGTTTGGGCATACTCGCCTCTGCGCGCTGGAAGTCCACCTGGCGTACTGTAATTCCCTTCCATATGCTGCAGGTGATCGATGTGAAGCGAAGTTATGTGACTATGACTGCAACAAAGATTGAGATCACCATGAGAAAAGCTGAACCTATGCAGTGGGCGAGCCTGGAACTGCCTGCAGCCAAAAAGCAGGAAAAACAGAAAGAAGATACAACAGAATGAGTTGAGAAGGAACAAAGTTCTTGCCGCCTTCAGAATCGTTAACACGCGGGGAAGTGGTGGCTTGCTGCTGTGCTCTTGCTTTCTTGTTGTTGTTGTTGAATCTGGCATTTCAGGGTCTACAGTAGGTTCTTAAAAGCCAAAGTCAGTTTATCTTTTTGTGCCTCCCACCTTCCTTTTGAGTTACCTAGGATTGATTATTCGTTTCTCCTCATTAATAGAACTGTAGTTGTGTCTTATACTTGAAGAAGCTAGAAAATAGCTCGTAACAGTTACAGTATTTCGTAGTGTAACATTAAGCAGAGAAATGTAAAGGAACATGTGTTTTTACATCTCTTTTATTCCATAATTACTAAAGATGGAACATCGAGTTTCGAATTTGTATTTTCATGAGTTTGTGTTCCTATAATACTTGAAAATCTTTACGGGAGAGATGAAGCTCTGCATTGCCTTTTTCCGCTCGGGACAACTACGTTTTGTGGGGATATTAACGTGAGGTAGTGTAGTAAGTAGTTAAAGGGGAATATGCGCATTGATTAACAAATTAGAATTCATTTACAACTTAATTGGATTAAAAATTACAGCAGTACTGATACTACTAAGCAGTATGATTTAAGAGTATAGTAAACATTATAATTAAGACTATAAAGGTAACAATTTGGTTAAAAGTCACCATTTTATAAGACTAAGCAATAATGTGAAACATCTCTTTCTTGATTATAAGGACTTTGTACAGTGGGCTGAATTGTATCTAGTTTATAGCCTACACCCTCTTAGAATCATCTATTAGTTACAAAGAGAAATTTTATATGTTATTTGGCCTCCCTAATGGAAAATTATATCTGTAAAATTGTAGGCTTAAAAGCTTATGGAAATACATTAGGTTATCAGAAAAGCAAATGTTTAAGCTTTGCTTTATGAGAGCTATCACATGTTAAATGAACAAAATAGCTTAGTCTTTTGGGGTTTTTGTTTGTTTGTTTTTAGGCCTTCATGAACAGCTTGACAGTTCTAGGTGATACAGTGATTATTTATTGTACATGATTAAATGTAGGTATCACAGAATTGATGGCTTATGCTCACTGAACCCATTAAAGGATGGTTACTTTTTGAGGCAGTGCAGAGCTCGCAAAGAAAACTAAAATTAAGACGTGTTATGAAGGCCAGAACTCTGGCAAAAGAACTTAATACATTTGGGTATGAATTATGTTTATATAGATTAAAATGATTATTTCTTAAAACTCCTTGAGTGTTTTTTTTTCCTTGGTATTAATGGATTTCTTACAAAGACAAGTTTGCAGAAGTACAGTGTTAGTTAATCTCAGTCTACTGTGTTTAGCAGTTAACTGTTAGATGTGCTCATGTAATTATTTAATTGTTTAGCTCTGTAACAAAGACAGAAAAATTGACAGCCAGCTTTCATAACACTAAAATACCATGGCAAGAAATTTCTGCAGTGAAAATTGGAGCCAAACAGAGTATGTAAGTTTCTAGTGCTTGGGGTTGTGGTTGGTGTTTTAAGTTGTCTTTCGTAGTTTGGGACCTGGGTGCATTTGAAGACATGAAATCTTGTTTTTTATTTAGGAGAAAGATTAATACTTTGATTTGATTTGCGGTAATGATGAACAGACCCTTTTTTGATGATTCCTTCGTGTGGCTTGTTTTCCCCTAAACAAGATCTTCATGTTATGTGCCCTTGAACTATTATTTAAAGCAAGTGTGTCATTCATCTAAGAGTTAGTTACAAAGCACTGACCTTTATTTATACACACACACCCCTTAAGTGTTCAGTCTGGTTACACTAGTGACCATCCTATTTGCTTTCTTATTCCTATAAACCTCTGAATTTGTTGCCCAAGTAAAAATCTAAATGACAATTATCTTAGAGTCCTACATACAGGGACACAGTTACAATTAAGTAGAGTAAGTCTTACTTTATCAAATCTATCAAAAAAATAAAAAATGCTTGTTACATTTATTAGGCTGTTTCTCTATAAATGCTTTGTCTTTCTGAGCTTTCAAAGTGCTATAGCAAAGCAGTCAAAGCTAGAGTTATTGTACACTTGGTAACTAACCTGACAGCTAACGCAACATGGGAAACAAAATACGATTTTTCTTGCCTAGCACATTTGCTAGTGTAAAGGAGAAGGAAAAGTCCTAAAAAGTTGAACTTTTATTTTTTTAACCTCTTATTTTGAGATGTTTAGATCTACAAAAGAGTAACCAAAAAAGTAGAGCTTTTTTATATCCTGTATTAATTTTCACCTTATGATAAAATCTTACATAACCATAGAACATTTGCAGAGGTAGGAATTAGCCTTGGTACAATACTGTTAACTAAAGTAGAACATTAATTTTGACCATCTGTTTTTAGTGGAACAGTATTTAAGAGTAGTTCTTGAGACCTACCCTAGTGTTTTGATAATAAAGCCAGTAATTTATAAACCATTAAAAATAGAACTTGAAGTCAACCTATCATAGATAAATGTTTACAGGTCAATAATGTAACTTCTTGTTGTAATTTAACATATACTGGCAAAGTACTGTAATGATCTATTTTAATTAAATTTATATTTCATGCCAGAGATTTTAATTCTTACTAAGTAAAACTTTGGTTTTCTTTAGACAGTTCTTCACCCATCCGCGGGTGAAGTGAACCTTAAAGAGTTCTTGCAGATACTCTAAGGTGTCTCTGGGTTACTGCTCTACCACCCTTGTTTTTTAAAAAACGCCAGTCATTCCCCAGCCTGAAAACGCATGTCATACATCCGTCCATGTTAAATAAATTACGAAAAGCTCCCTTTTGAGGTATGAGGTCTGGTGTCAATTTTAGAGTGTTTAGGTGTGGACTCAACTTTTTTTTTTTTAAGAGGCCAGGTACTTTTAAGTTATCTGTTAGAAGATTAACAGATTTTTTTTTTTGGTTTGTTTCATTGCAGATTATTTTGATCTGGCATTCATATTTGGTAATTATTTGATTCTTTTACCTATGTCATAATTCCATAGCCTCAGTTCTAAAATGTCAGCTAAGTCCAGCTTGTTTTTAAGTTTTATTAATAGGTGTTTCCTTTCATTTCTTTTAATTGTTTGTTGGGTGAGTAGGAAGCTGGTGTTTTACTTGACTTCCTTCTTACTTACTGCCTAAGTATTTTACAGCTGAAACTCATCTGGAGTTGTTGCATGGCTTGCTTTTTTATTTAAGTGTAGATGCCTGTAGCTATATACATTTGGTATTCCTAAAATACTGAGCTTGCAAAGGTTTTTCTTTTGCATAGTTTTTAATTTTAACTATTTATAGAGTTCTTAGTTGTGAAGAATTCCTTCAGAAACAGTTTTTCTGAAGAACATGTTTTTATTAAATACTAATTAATGACTTAGTTTTCCAAGTTAGTAGGCCACCTTTAATGTCTATTGAAGACATTTTTATGTTGCTTAAAGAGTATGTGTCAAAATAATTTAATTTGCCATTCCTTTTTGACTAAGCAAATACAGTATCCAAATGATTGGATTGTGAAATTATTTTTTTAAGACTGCTAATAGAAGTAAGATAACTGATTAAGCCTGAGAGAGGGAAATCTCCCTGAACTCACAGTACCTTCCCTTCCTGTAAAAGTGAGACTAGGTGAGTGTATTAACTTTAAAAAAAAAAAAAATACTGTGGTCCTTTTCTTCGTAATGCTCATTTGAATTTGCAGTTCCATATTTATTAATATTTTATTTGTATAATTAATTTGTTAACGTCTTTGTCCTCTTAAAGATGGCGTGTAACCTTGACTGTGTTTTGGTCGACTGTTACATCCCTATTTTCTAGTACAGCACTTGGCATGTTGGTTGGCTCTTGTAAATATCAAGACGTGGCACTTGTTTATGGGCCAGTCACTGTTCTAGGGACTTTTATGAATATGGACATGATCCTCATGACAACCCTTTGAGGTAGGTTCTGTTTTTATATTACAAGGAAGAAACCGAGTAATGGCACAGGTTAAGGAACTTGCCTCTCATCTAAACTATTGAGTACAGAGTAGAGATTTTAAACTCAGGCACTCTGGCCCTGTGTTCTGTGCTCTTAACTATATGCTGCTTATGTCTGTCAGTTGAATTAATGGGTTCCAAAAAACATTGTCACATAGCATGGAAAACTAGTAACACTGTGTTTAGTTATCAGGAACAAGTTTTACTTTCATATGTTTTGTTAGAAAATAAATTTGTAAAAGTGTGTAGTTCTTTTGTCTGTATGATTTTGCTTATAATAATAGCTGGATTTAAAACTTCACTATTTGTAATTTGACAGCTCTTAGGGTCTCTGGTTTCTTTAAACAGCTTCCAAAGAAGTTGCAGAATCCCCAGGTCAAAAAGAAGTTGCCCATTGCCACTCTGACAGTGACTTCATAGATAAGAATTCATATCTGTGTTAGATTAACTGTAATGAAACAGCATCAAACTTATCTTTTTTCCCCCATTAATATGAGACATGGTTAAAACAATCTTAAGTCTGCAGCATAAGATACCTGCATAGGAAAGACAGGTAAGATTGTAAACATGGGGACAGAGAGCCAAAGGATCATTTGAAGTTTGGCTTTCGCTTCTAAGCCAGGTCCTTGGTTATCGAAATACCACTTTTAGACCAACACTACAAGCATCTTTGAATCTGTTGCAAATTCTTTGTCCCCAACCTATGGGACCTACTAAATCAGAAATTCTTGAGAGTGGAGGTCAGAAGTTTGCAGAAGAATTTCCATTTTATTCGGTTGTACAATAAACTGAAAAACACTAGCAGCATGTAAGTCTAATTAATTAGGCTTGCATTTTGTTGTCTTTTTTATCACTTTTTTTGAATTAATTAACTTTGTTTCAGAACAGTTTTGGACTTGAAGAAAAATTGTGGAGATAGTATAGAGAGTTGCCGTATATTCCTCCCCGTTTCCACTATTCAGTAGTGAGGTACACTTGTTACAGGTAATGAACCGGCACTGATACATGTTATTATCTGAAGTCCATACTTTATTCTGATTTCCTTAGTTTTTACCTAATGTCTGTTTTCTGTTCCAGGATCCCTCTAGGATACCACATTGCATTTAGTCATATGTCCTTGGTTCCTTCTTGGTTTTGACAGTTTTTCTTAGACTTTCTTCAAAACCCTGAATTTTGAGAAGGACCGGTCAGGTATTTTGTAGAATGTCTCCCAATTGGGATTTGTCTGGTGTTTTTCCTAGAATTAAACTTAGCATGTTTTGAGAAAGAAAACCACAGAGGTACAATGCCATTCTCATTGGTGGCATTAAGGGGATGTGCAGCTAACATGGCCTACCATTTTGGTCACCCGGCTAAGGTAGTGTTTATGTCAGTTTTTAACTGTAAAGTTACTCTTTTGTCCTGCTTTCTAGCCTTTGTTTCCTTCTGTGTGCAGCCCACACTTAAAAAGGAGTGGGAAGTTACGTTCCACCTCCGAAGGGTGGAGTATCTACATAAATTGTTGAGAATTTTTGCGCATGGGAGATTTGCCTCTTGTCCTGATTTATTTATTTGTTTACTTGTTTATACTGATGTAGACTCTTTTTTGTACTTTGAAATACAATCCTGTGTTACTTTATTTTGCTTCTCAGATTTGTCCAGCTTTGGTTATTATGGCCTTTTGGTTTGCTCCTGTGCATTCCTTTGTCATACCCCTGGCCTGTCACTGTGGGTTTGCTTTGGGGTTTTTTGTTTGTTTTTTAGCACTTTCTGACTTTCTGGCACTTCCAGGAGCTTCAGTCATTTCTCCTTGGTTCTTTCTATTAGAGAAAGGTACTAGTATCTGGATGTTGGGTGTGCATGTTGCTAGCGTATCTTTGTGTCTGGGTAGGCTCAAGCTGATAGCAAGGAAATACATGTGTATGTGCTCACCTGTCTATACACGCATCTATAAACATTTCTGTAAGTAACTATTTGTATATATAGTAAGGTAAACATGAGTTCATACTTACGTCTCCAGTACTAATTTATTACCACACAGGTCACTCCAGCCTCCTTTCCTTGCTAATCTGTAACTTCCCACTCTTAACAGTTACACACACAAAAAAATCTGCTGTCCACCGGCTTGCTCAGTTTTAGTACGCATGTGCAGCAGTGTCAGAATTACTAAGCTAATGTCCCATTGACAGATAGGTCTGTCACCTGGAGTGGCCTTTAGTCTTACTCATTTCTAGACTACAGACTTAGAGTTAGTTAACACCTTTTCCCCCTCACTTGTTTCGTTAAGATTGTTCCATATATTTGTAATAAGGCTTGCATTTATTTTTAGAAAGGTCAGTTTAATGAAAGTTGCGATTAGACATGATGTAAAAGCAAGACCAGTTAGGATAAGAGCATAGAATATAACAAGCAGTCGGAAGAGAGGGAGGTAAATGTGCTTTGAACTGAAAGGCATTAGGGATTAGAGGGTGAGATTTCAAGGGTCAGGTCTACGCTTTGAGACAGAAGGCGCACCTAAGCAAGATAGGGAATATATTAAAGAAAAGGGTGTTGGAGGAAGTAATTTTTCACAAAGGACTGTAAGTCCGAGGAATCTTTAATATCCAGGTGAAGTAGACCAAGCTGTTGGTAAGTTTTGATGCTTATGGTGAGGCCTTACCTGGCTCTCAGGATTCGGAAATCAGAAGTGAATAGGCAGTAATGTAAATACACCACTTGACTAACTTTGAGGATGCAAAGTTGATGGTGTTCCGAACTTCTGAGGGCATCTTCAATTCCAAAACGGTGACAATCCCTGTTCTTTGCCTCATGCAGTAGGAGTGCGCGAGCATTGAGGTTAGGACTGACAGGGACCGTTCTGACTCACACGCTGAGTGTGCTCACCTACACCACCTGCAACTGTTGCAGGAAAGTAGGGCTGAGAGGATGGTCATGGGTCAGGTTTTGGGCAAGTCCTGGGACGGGCCCCACCCAGTGAGGGTCCTTGGCTTCGTACAGGAAAGACTTCAAGAGCAAGCCATAGTAAAGTGGAAGTAGATTTGTTCAGGGATAGACATTACACAGGCAGAACGTGGTCCATCGCAGGAGGGCGAGTGGTCCCAGGGCGTGGGGTGGTCTGGGAAAGAGAGAGTGGCCCTGGGCTGTGGGGGGGTTTCGTTTACATGGACTCAGTAATTTCATACGCTAACAAGTGGGAGGATTATTCCAACTGGGGGAGGGGGCAGCGGTTCCCAGGAATTGGGCCACCGCCCACTTTTCGGCCTTTTGTGGTCAGCCTCAGAACTGGGGGATAGTGAAAGTCAGAAATGAGAGGTATTTAATTAGATGGAATTCTAGTCTCATTTTTCAGGCAGGTGAAAAGTAGTTGTGTAACAGTAGTTTTCATTCTGAAAAGTGAGGGAAGATTCGCCATTAAATTACAGGGAAAGGTGCTTTTTTTAAACCTGGGCTTTAGAGTGTTTTAATGAATCAAGAACCACACATAAAATTATTAAATTATGTTATAGGACCCTTCTTCCAGAGATCTGTGGCCTACCATGGTGATCTTTTTACATATTATTATGCTTCACCAGGTAATCTTGAGGCTAGTTGAGCTTTAGGTTTCTTAGTGTTTTTTTTCTCCCGAAAGGATTGTTCTGAGTTGGTAGGTATGAAATTTTCAGATTGTACTCATGTTTTTGATAAGGTATAGAGGTTTGTGAGCCTCTTCAGTATGGTAGCCATCCCTTTGCTTAATTATTTGATTTCATTCATGAAAACATTTTTTAATTACTTCCTGTGTGCTGGGGATAACTGACCAAACACACGGGCCTCTGCTTCCAAGGAAGACGAGATCATTAAAACTATACTACAGATAAACCTGTAAAGAATTGCTGTGAGAGCATGTTTGGTAGACTTTAGATGGAGTTTTGGAGGGTTAGATACCGGAGTCCTGAAGGAAAATGGGTGGGAGTTAACCAGACAAATAGAGGAGAGGTTCGACCAAGAAAGACAAGGATATGAGAAGGCCTGGACTGAGAGATGGCAGTGGCCTGATAAGGACCTTAACTCTTGTTAGTTTGCTTAGCCCCCAAGCTTTCGGTCTTACAGTGGTCCTAAGCAGACGTCTCAGCCTCAGTTTTAGGCCTGTCTAGATTCCAGTACATCATGGTAGTTCAGCCAGCCAGCAGCAGCTCTGCCGGTCTTCCCCCAGAAACATGCCTTGCCAAGGCCTAGAGTTGGCAGATGACCCCAGGGAAGTAAACAGTTGTTGCTCTCAGTATCCAGGCAGGACTTTCAGTACATTCAGTCTTTACTGCTTCTGCAACTTTTTGGTATCTCCAAAAATACTCTGCGTTTAATCCTTTTATTTTTTTCCTACTTGGCAACTGAAATGATTGCCTGCCAATCTCTACTACATCATTCCTGGGAGTGTGGAAGTCCCTACTGAAGAGTCCCTAAATAGAGTGTAGCATGATCGCATGAGCTGAAGTTACTATAGTTGTGATGCAATAGGGGAAAGGAAGTTGGGTGGTTTCTAAGGAAATTTTTGCATCATTTAAGTGAAGGATATTATTGGTCTGAATTTAGAATAAATTGCACTTGAGACTGGAAGAACTGGATGGATACCGGAGTCACTGAAAAGAAAGGAAACAGAGCAAATGACTCACTAAAGGTAAAGAGCAATGACAAGACAGAGGCTAAAATCTATTACAGTATTGTCATTATTTCTAACATTAAGTGTTTTGCCAGACTCATTTCTACACCTCAGCAGTTAGGACTGGCGAACTGATTATTTTCTTCTATCTCATCTCCGTGTATAAACTTGAAAGTTTGCAGATCAATTGATAGTTTTGAAATTCTGAGCTAAATAAGAAGAATGCTAAAATAGCCCATGTATGCATCTGTAAATGAGTGTTACATCCTCAGAATAGAAAGACTAGTAAAGTACAAAAAAACAAGAGGTTTCTGGTTTTGAACTTATTGCATCTCAGAATTTTCTATACTGTTTCTCATCAAAATGAAAACCACCTTACTGTAGTTTTCATTACAAAAGGAATATATTCCAATATAAGAAATTGAATCAGTACAGAAAAATACAAAGAGTGTAAGTTCACCACCCCAACATAGCACTGCTGACATTTTGTGGTGTTATTTGTACATTGTTTTATCAACATTTTTTTCTAACTCAACAATAATTCAGACCACTTACTATAAAAATAAAAAATATTTATATCAGTTTTATGATTATTTATTATTCTAAGTTAAGCAGTTCCCCACTGTTGAATATTTAGTTGTTTTCTGTGATAAAAATGTTTCAGTAAGCACCCTTGTCACATACATTGGCATTCTTTCAAATTTTCTTTAGAGTAAATCTTTAGAATTTCTAAATTAAAGTACATACATATATTTCACATACTTTTTATTGGTTTCGTTTTATATTAGACAAAGTAAGCAACCTGTTTAGATTTTTTAATGAGTTAATTATTGCATTATATTAGAAATGGATGGCTTATTTAAATTTGATTTGAAAAGTCAGTAATAAAACAGGCAATATACATTGTGACAAGCAAAACATTTCTTTGCTATTTTACAAGTAGCCTTATGAAAAATAATCTTTCATTCATGATATGGATCAAGGAATGGGACATGCTTAGAGGAAGAAAGTTTTGTTTTGTTTCTGTCTTTTTTTGAGGGATGATTCTTTGAGCTGGGTGCTGGATAAATGGGAGTTTATTGTTACGTTCCCTCCGCATTTGTGTAAGTATGATACTTAATGAGACTTAAGGAGGTCCTGTGTTGGGTGAAAGGACTCAAGATACAAATCAGTCTTCATCCCTCTTGTAGACTGGTGTTTTTTTTTTTTAATATACTTGACATGTAACATGTTAATTTGATAATTTATATATTGTAATATGATTGCCATTGCAGTAATAATTAGCATCTCTATCTCCTAACACAGGTTGCCCGTTTTTTGGTAGTTGGACCAAGTTCTCTTAACAAGTTTGATGATTGTAATATGATACTGTTGTCTGTATTCCCTGTTCTGTGCATTAGATCTCTAGAGCTGCTGTAACTACTTGTAAATTTGTACCCTTAAACAACAATAGTCTTTTCCCTCACCCTCACCCCCACCCCCTGATAACCGCTATTTTATTCTCTGTTTCTACAAGTTTGGCTTTTTAAAATTCCAAATATAAGTGATATTATACAGTACTTGTCTTTTTCTGTCTGACTTATGTCACTTAGCATAATGTGCCAAGGCTATCTGTTGTCACAAATGGCAGGATATCTTCCTTTTTTTATGGCTGAATAATTATAATATATATGCATCGTATTTTCTTTATTCATCCATCAATGGACACTAAGGTTTTTTCCACATCTTGGCTATTATAAATCATGCTGCAATGAATATTTGGGTACACGTATCTTTTTGAGTTAGTGTTTTTGTTTTCTTCAGGTAAATGACTCAGAAGTGGAATTGCTGGATCAGATGGTATTTCTATTCTTCATTTTCTGAGGAACCTCCATACTGTTTTCCATAGTGGCTGCAGCAGTTTACATTCCCACCAACAATGTACCAAGGGTTCCCTTTCCTCCACATCTTCACTGCTGCTAGTTGTCTTGTCTTTTTGATGATGGCCATTTAACAGGTATGAGAGATACCTCACTGTGGTTTCGATTTGCCTTTCCCTGATGATTAGTGATACTGAACATCTTCTCATGTACCTGGTGACCATCTGTATCTTCTTTGGAAAAATGTCTGCTTAGGTCTTCTGCCCATTTTTAAATCAGATTGTTTGGGCTTTTGTTACTGAGTTGTATGAATTCTCTCTATATTTTGGATATTAAACCTTACATATACAATCTGCAAAAAAGTTCTCGCTTTCTGCAGGTTGCCTTTTCACTTTGTTAATTATATCTTTTGCTGTGCAGAAGGTTTTAAATTTGATGTAATCCCATTTGTTATTTTTGTTGTTATATCCAAAAAATCACTATCAAGACCAATGCTCAGGTCCTTTCCTATGTTTTCTAAGAGTTTTAAAGTATCAGGTCTGAAGTCTTTCTTTTTTCCCCCCGGTCTCTATTTTATGTATTTCCATTCTGATCTTTATTGTTTCCTTCCTCCTCCTAACTTCAGGCTTAATTTCTTCTTTCTCTGTTTCCTTGAGGTGTAAAGTTAGGTTGTTTATGAGATCTTTCTAAATTTCTTAATATATGAACTTACTGCTATAAACTTTCAGAACTGCTTTTTGCTGCATCCCATAAGATTTGATAGGTTGTATTTATATTTTCATTTGTATCAAAAAATTTTTTCATTTCCATTTTTTTCTCTATTGTTTAGAAGTGTCTTGTCTAGTGCCCATACATTTGTAAGATTTCCAGCTTTCTTCCTGTTGTTGATTTATAGTTTTACACCTTTATACCATTACTATCTAAACAGATGGTATGACTTCAACATTCTTGAGATGTTTTTATATCATATGACCTATCCTAGAAAATGTCCCTATACACTTGAGAAGAATGTATATCCTGCTGCTCTTGGATGGAATGTTCCATGTCTCTTAAGATCGTTTGCTCTAGAGTATGGTTCAACTCCAACATTTCTTACTGGTTTTCTGTCTGGATGATTAGTGATCATTGTCAGTGGGGTGTTGAAGTCCTCTACTAAGACTGCGTTGTCTGTTTCTGCCTTTACATCTCTCAGTATTTGCTTAAGACATTTAAGTTGCAGATGTTGGGTGTGCATATATTTGATTGTTTTATCTTCTTGATGTCTTGACCCTTTTGTCATCATATAATGACCTTTCTGTCTCTTGGTATCATTTTTGGCTTGAAGTCTATTTTGTCTAAGTATGGCTCTACCCACTTTGGTTTGGATTTCGGTTGCATGTAATAGCCTTATTTTGAATTTTCACCATGAGCCCGTGTGTATCTCTAGAGCTGAAATTATATAGTTAGGTCTTGTTTTCTAATCCAGCAGGCCAGTCTGTGACTTCTGATTGGTGAATTCAGTTCATTTCTCTCTAGTGATTACTGCTGCCATCTTATTGTTTGCCTTCTGGTTGTTTTATATCCCGTTTCCTTTTCCCTGTTTCTCCCTTTGTAAAGTGGTGGTTTTCCATGATGATTTGCTCAGCCTCTTTTTTTCACATTTTGTGACCACTCCAGATTTTGGGTTACCAAGTGGCTTACATAAAGCATCTCCTAGATAAAACAGTGCTAGGGGGAAGACGTCTTAAAAATAGCTCAAACACATGTTCTGTGTGGTAGTACATATTCTCTGAGTTTATTACACTGCATGACACATAATCACTTGTTCTATTCTCATGATCAACTCTTGATCAAAGATAATTTTTTTAAAATTACCAATTAAACAGTAAGTTGCAAAGGTTACTATTTTTCTCCAGACTCGTATTTCCAACCCACACATGCCGTTTTAGCTACACATCTCTTCGGAAGGCTGCCACTGGGAAGAACGTAAAAGAGATTCATAAACTTTTGTTTCATCTCCTTTAGAAATGAAATAATAGAATTGGAGGGAAACTTAACAATCATTACTCATGAGGAAAAGGATGCCCCCAAACATGTAGGGATTTCCTCAGCTGGAACAGTAGAAAAGTGTGACTCATGCACCGTAACTTAGTATTTCTCTCTACAACACAGTGCTCTACCCTAAATAAAGTGTACGCTAAGGTAATACAGTAATAAAGTTAAGTCTTTACATTTGCTAAAATAAATTATTTTACAAAAGTCTCATTTCATATGCTTTATGAATTTATACTTCATAAATAACATTTTATTGCTCTTTAAAGCAGAATACTCTTGCCTCTTTAAGTTAAACAAATAGATTATATTAAAACTTACCCTGCTGACTCAGGGTCATTGCTGTCAAGGCCACTTATATACCATGGGGAATCACCACCTATTAATATTGAACATATAGGAAATGTTTGTCCCCAGGGTAGACACTCCCACTCTTTTATTAAACTGTATTGTTGGTCAGCGAACACAGGTAACAAGGGGTAGTTTCCCCTTGCAAATTTTGAGCTGCCACATCTTATTAATTTTTGATTCTCAACTCTTTAATTGAACAACCGTGCTTTTTGAAGCTTCCATCTTATTTTACCCATAATTCTGAGTCTTAGGCTCTGCATGAAAGTTTGCACCTGCTGATACACTTTTCTACTCAGTAGGAATCAGTACGAAGGTTTGTGGCAACAGTGGACTCGTGAACAACACAGGTTTGAACTGCATGGGTCCCGTTACACGCCGATTTTTTTTTCACTGTGTACTACAGGAGTACATGATCCATGGTTGGCTGAATCCGTGGATGCAGAACCAAGCGTATGGAGGGCCAGCTATAAAGTTACACAGGCTTTCAACTGCACAGAGTGCCCCTAACACCCATGTTCTTCAGGGGTCAACTGTATTTTCTTCACCCATCACTTAGACTATTCAATACAGCTGACGTTTCCGAAAGTACAGGGTTCACTTTTTCCTTACCATTTGTATTCCACAGTGGTTTCACAAGAGGTGTGCTATTCCAGTTTCCTTGCCAGACCCCCCCCCTTTTTTTGGTAATCAAATTTATTATGGTATAATTTTTACATATTTTAAGTTTCAGTTTGATTAGGATGACAAATGTATATACCTATGTATTTATCACCCAGATCAAGATGCAGAAGACTCCCATCTTCCCAGAAAGCTTACTTACGCCTGTTTAGCCGCAGACCTCTCCCTGCCCCTTACTGGACCCAGGCAATCACTGTTCTAACTTCGGTCACAGATTAGCTTTGCTTCATATAAACAGAATCACACACTAGGCTTTCTTTTGTGTCTGGCTTCTTTCCCTCAACAACGTCTGCCAGTGAGATTACACGTATTGGCAATTACTTCATTTTTATGGCTCAGTGGTATTCCACTGTGGCCAGACCACAATCTATCCATTCATCTGTTGATGGGCATCTGTGTTATTTCCACTTGAAGCTGCTATGAACATACATGTAACAGTCTTTCGGTGACCACGTTTTTTCTTCTCTTTAGAAATTACCTAGAAGTAGAATGTTGGAGTTACATTAAATTTTATAAGAACCTGACCGACTGTTTTCCAAAGTGACTGAACTGTGTTACATTCCTACCAGCCAAGTCTGAGAGCTCAAGTTCCTTGCCGCATTTATTTTAGGGAATTTTCAGTTACTTTCTCTCTTTCTACCACATGGTTGAAGTCTTTTTGCTTTGTTTTATTAGATTAGCACTTTGATGATGAAGTTACAGATTTTTAAAAGCCAAAAATCTGTCTGCAGATGAACAAGGTGGAAGTCTAAAATCAAAACATGACATAAAAAGCAAGATTTCTGCATACTCTGGCTTCATGAGTTATCAAAAATAAAGATGGATTTTACCCTCAGACTTTCAGTGACATTTTTAATGGATGACCACTCGGCTGACACTTCACTATAACAATTCTTTCAGAGTCCCCGCTGCTGCTTGAATTGTAAAGGTTGCGATAGAAATCTGTTTCTTCACTTCTGCCCAGGCTGAACGAGGGTCTGCTTTATTTTCAATATCAAACATAGCATCAAAGATGCCAGGAAATGACTCTCCAGCATATTTGTTGTGGCTGCTTGGAGCAAAGATGATGTGCCTAGTAGAAAAGAACATAAAGAGGACAGGTTGAGCTAAAGAGAATACACATATTAACATTTCATATGCTTTTTCTTTACTCATTCCCTTTTGTTAGACCACATCTTGCTAAGTATTCAATGTCTGCTGGCATTTACTTCTGTTACTCCAAAATGAAAACATGCATAATTGGTTTGAGATACTTAGGTAATCGTGTAATTGTAAGCAAAGAAAGGAGCAGACTAAGAAGCATTTCATGAATCATGCTGCCAACCCACACAGTTGGACTAATGTAGATTCTTTCCTGTAAGTTACGTGCATTAGTCCTCTGACTGCCTAGCCAGCCACAGACATCCACAAAACATGTATGTCTCGTGGATATATTTAATAAGGGAGAAGAGACTTAAAAAATTATTTTGTGTTGCTTTTTAGAGATTCAACAAGAATGACAGTTGCTCCCAGTACTCTTCAGACATTAAAAAGCAATAAAGAAACTTGTATTCCCCAAATATCATAAATGGTAAGTATAATGAAGCCTATTCCACAAAGGTTAAATGGCTATATCTGGGTTGCCCACAAGGGACACGCTTAGTTTCTGATCTAGCAGGAAAGTTTGCAGTTGATGACCTGCTTCATCTCATAAGTAGTTCAAGAGATCAAGCCACTCTCCCCATTATGTGGAATTCTGCCTTCCTGAAAAGGACATTTTATTAAACCCTCTTATCAGGAATTAGATCCAAAAGTTAAATCCTAGAGCTTCTTCAAGATGTAAATCTACAGTGTGAGACAATTTGGAATTCTATAAATCAGTATTAATGATCAAAGAAATAATCTAGAATTTCCAAAGTATATCAGGACTTACTGCTCTTGGCTTTTAAATTTCAATATGGCCTCAAATAGCTCCTTCTTGCTAAAACAAGTGTATGTGCTGAGATGGTGATAAACATTTACATTCCAATCTAACTACATCTGAGATCTTAGAGAGAGAGGTCATAGAATTGCTTAGTCTACGTGCCCTCTTCTGGAGAACTGCAAAGGGAGACTTTAGTATAAAATTACAGATCTAGGAATAAAATAAAGCTCATTTGACTCATTGGCCAGGTATCTAGTACCTCTGTGGCCTTTGACAAATTACCTGCCTTCTTTAAACTTGTTCCCTGTGTGTAATGATTCAGGCTTTGCCTAGAGTAGTTACTAGGGTTATGGAACCAGTTTGCCTGTGTTTGAAAATCAGAACGCTGTCATACTTACCTTGTGGCCTCACACTGGTTATTTAACCTCCCTGTGCCTGTTTATTCAGCTTTGAAAAGAGGCACAATAATAGTACTGTCTTCAGCTGATTATTGTGAGAATCAAGTGATGGACAGAAACCACTCCATATAGACTGACAGCTCGTAAATGCTCAATAGATATTAGCTACTATTCTGAGGCTAAGTCCTTTCAATAATTCTCTCAGGTAAGAAGCAGACAGCTATAAAAGAGCTCAGACAACAGACACCATGTAACCAATTCTAACACCCCTTCATGAAAGCTAAACTATTCTAGTTCTGTAACAACTCAAACTCTGGTCTAGTTTTTAAGTTTTCAAGTGTATCAGGATAACACATCACCCTCCACAATGAAAATATCTGAATTTTCAAGAGGTATCAAGGGCAGCTATAGCAGCCTGCAGACTACCATCTGCATTTAGAGTTGAGATCCCATTTTTTCAACGGCTCCCTCAGTACATAGTGATTACTAAGTGCTGTGTTATAATAATGCAAATGTTTTATATTTTCATAATCAAATTCTTCGCAGCTTTTAAAGACTTTTGCATACCTACTGGATGTTTACAAGAAAAGTGAGCTTTATTTAATGCTCTTTACACTACATTACAGAACGTTTGTTAGTTTTCTAGTGATCCTGTAAAAAATCACCAAAAATGTAGTGGCTTTTTAAACAATACAGTTTTACTATCTTACAGTTGTATGAAGGAAATATTATTTGATTGCCATTGTTCTAACAGTTTTAATGCATTACTCACAATTCAGTTAAGTCTGTATAAGTTAATTTCAACCGGGTTTTTTAATTCTATAATAAATACTTGCACTTCTGAACTTTTAAGATGAATGTTTAAAATATACTCCACAGGAGAAACATTTTATCTTAAAATATGCACAAATTTTCCTGATTCATATATTCATTACTAATCTCAACACTATATATGATTTTATGATAAATACATAGAGTACTGTGGCCAACTTCACAATATTAATGCTTCCATCTCCACGAGCATGGAGTATCTTTCCATTAATTTGCATCTTCTCACAGTTTTCAGCATATGTCCTTTCACATCCTTGGTTAAATTTATTCCTAGGTATTTAATTCTTTTCGATGGATGCAATTACAAATGGGTTTTTTTTCCCCTTAATTTCTTCCTGATCATCATTAGTTTATAAAAACGTCATAGATTTCCTTGTATTGATTTTGTGTCCTGCACTTTACTGAACTTGTTCATTATTTCTAATAGTTTTTTTTTGTGGAGTCATTAGGATTTTCTATATGTGGTACCATGTCCTCTGCAGACAGGGGCAGTTTTATTTACTTCTTCCTGATTGGGACATCTGTTTTCTGCAGTTGCTGTGTCTAGCACTTTCAATACTGTGCTGAATAAAGTGGAGAGAGTGGGCATTCCTGCCTTGTTCCTGATCTTAAAGGAAACGCTTTCAGTTTTCCACCACTGAGTAAGATGGTAGCCTTGGGTCTGTCACAAATGGCCTATATTATGCTGAGACACATTGCCTCTATATCCAGCTTGGTGAGACTTCTTAATCATAAGTGGATGTTTAATTTTGCTAAATATTTTTCTGTGTCTATTGAGATTATATGATTTTTATTCCTCATTTTGGTTGGAATTTTTTTTTTCCTTCAGCACTTTGAATACATCATGCCACTCCCTTCTGATCACAAAGTTCCTGCTGAAATATCTGCTAACAGACTTAAGGGAGTTCTCTGGTACATAAGTTGTTTTTCCTTTGCTGCTGTTAAGATTCTCACATCTCTACCTTTTTGACATTTTCATTGTAGTTTGACTTGGGATGGGTGTCTTTTGGAATTGCCTGAGCTTCTTGGATTTGGATGTCTGTTTCCTTCCCCACATTAAGGAAGTTTTCAGCCTGTTCTCTTTCTTCTGGGACCTGTCTAACGTGAGTGTTTGCTTGATGTTGTCCCATAGGTCCTTTAGGCTGTCTTCACATTCTCAGACACTTTGCACTTTTTGTTGCTCTGTTTGTGTGAGTTCCGCGGCCTGTGTCCCAGGTCATCGATTCTTCTGCTTCATCCTGTCTGCTAGTGAACCCCTCTAGTGTATCCGTCAGTTCCATTATAGTGTTCTTCCTTTAGCTCTATGACTTCCGTTTGGTACATTCTTGCATTTCTCTGTTGTTTGAAGTTCTCGCTGTGTTCATCCACTCTCCTCCCACATCTGGCGGCATCTTTACTATTACTCTGAAGTCTTTATCAAGTAGATTACTTATCTTTGTTTCTAAGGTTTTTTCCCTGAGGTTTTATCTTTTTTTCTTCATTTTTGGGATACATTCCTGTGCTTTCTCATTTTGCTAGACTCTGGGAGAGGTGGCTGTTTTATCTAATGCACAGAAATGAACACAGTCCTGATGGAGAGCCTCCTGTAGGTAAACCTTACCATTTGACCTTTCCGAAGCTCTTGATTGTCAGAACTTTGTGATTCTCAAAGCCACCTCATTTTTAATAGCTCCCAACAGCTGAGTATGCTCCAGGATCCGTCAGGGCACCAGAGGGGAGTATCTCAGATCCGGGCTGCCTGGAAGTCAGGCCCCCAGGCAGCAGCTTTTTAACTATCCAGATATATACCATCCTGTAGGACTGCAAGAGTGGTGGCCACCAGAGCCAGGTCACGTGGTGGCCACCAGAGCCAGGTCACGTGGAGACGTCCCCTGGGTGACAGTCACATATGTTCCAGCTCCTTTCTGGTGCATACTGGCAAGCTGTAGCAAAGCAGGGGGAAGGTACAAAGGGGGCGTTCTCCAGCCTGTGTTCCCAGAGGGGAGCTCTGCAGGCCTCTAGATGTGCACTCGCCCGAAGTCTGTCCCTCAGGCCGAAGTTCCAGGACAAGCACACAGGTCTCGTACAGACAGACAGAGGTGTGTTCCACTCTGCGGTCTGTGCAGTGACCTGGAGGTGGCACCTGCCAGGCACTGACTCAAACTGCTGCGGCCCGTGGGACTCAGGAAGGCAAGCCCCACCGGCCACCAGAGCCAGGGGATGAAGGGGCAGCCCCTGCAGGGCAGCCATGAAACCTGAGGCATCAGACACGTGTCAGGACTCCCCCGGAGAGATGCTGGTTCTCTGCAGCAGGGCAGAGGGGCATGAAGACAGCACCTGCCCTCCCAGGTCCCTCTCATACCTCTGACATACGTATCCTTAGATGTGCGTTTAACCCAGAATCCGGCCCTGGAAGATGGCTCCCGGGTCCACTGCCTTGTGCTGCATCTGTGGGTGGAGCTGTTTAAGGGCTCTCTCTTCACAGGTTCTGGTCCTGAGGGACCCCGAGCATAAACCCCGCTGGTCAGCAGAGCCAGGCCACGTAGAGGTGTCCCCGGCCCCAGATTCAGAAGTTGGGGTGCCAGAGAGGGGTGTAAGCGCCTTTCTGAGACAAGGTCAAGCTGGAGCGAGGCAGAGGGAGAGCGCAGACTGCTTCCACCAGCCTCTGTCCCCGAGAGCAAATAAGCAGGCTTCTAGAAGTTGTCAGAACAAAAGCCTGTTCCTCAGGCCAGAGCTCCTGGACAAGCACATGAGCCTCTTCCTCAGAAGGATGGGGTGTGTCTCTGTCTGCTCTCTGTGCAGTACCTTGGGGGTGGCAGTCTGCCAAGAACTATCGCCCTGACTCTCACAGCCCCGGCGGACCCAGGATCACAAGCCTCCCATCCCCCACGTCCGGAGCCAAGCCATCACGGGGTGTCTCCTGGGTGGCAGCTGTAAAACCCAGGAGGCCAGATGCAAAAACCAGAGGACCAGACACACATAAACGCTCCCCTCCAGGAGATGCTGGCACTCTGGAGCTCAGAGAGAGGATGCTTGAAGACTGTTACTTGCAGGGAGGAGGAGGGGGAAAAAAAGAGGGTGCCCACCAGCTTTAGCAAGGCAGAGAAGAGCGGAAATTGGCACCCACTAGCCTCCACCTCAGAGAGCACCCCAGCAGGGCCCTGCCCCTCCAACCTGCGCCTTAAGATCAACAAGTGAATCTCTTTCACATAAATCCAGGAGCGTTTTCAAGGGCTGTTCTGTGCTGGGCCCTGCGGCAAGTGAGCCCCTGAAAGCCCTTTCAGGTCCCTGTTTCTCAGTTCACTCAAGCCCTTTGGTCTTATGGATGCAGCTTTGGTTCTCAAAGCCAGAAATCTGGGGGACTTGTCTCTCAGGTGCGGGTGCCTGATGTGGGGTACAAAGCCTTTACTCCTCGGGGAGAAGCTCTGGGTCTGTGAGCTCCCTCCTGATTGTGGGGTGGCGTCTGCGGGAAGACTGGGTCTCAGCCTCCCCGCCTACTTCCATATGGCCTCGTTCTCCCCTGCCTGACGTGCAGGAGCTGCACAGCTAGCTTTCAGGTCTTTTTCAGAGGCAACTGTTCCGTGCGTAGCTGGAGATTTGGTGTGTCTGCCAGAGGTGAGTTCAGGATCTTCCGACATGGCCACCTCGAACCTCCCCTCCCCTGGCTGTAGAATGAATATCGTCTTTATGTTTATTTAAAAGTTCCAAACATATTTTTCAAACTGCAGTCTTTCTGGACAGCACTTTGGCAGTTACTTAATCAAATTTAACATATGCTTATACTTTGACCCTGAAATCCTGGATATCAATAATAGAAATATTGAAATAAATTTTCAGGTAGGTCTGAGGGACATCCTATAGAAGTACTTCTCATAACACTAAGTACTTGTGGAAAAAACAAATCTAATTAAAAACTCAGTAGGAACTAAAACAAAAATCACACATGTGAGCCATACAATGGCACACTAAGCAGCAGGTGAGAAGAGCTAAAGTTGTACATCCTGACACAGAAAGACCTCTAAGATAAACTGTTACCAAAGAAAGGCAGTTGCAAAGTGATCTATGATCCCATTTATGTAAGCACAAACGAATGAATAAATATATGTGCACGTGTGTATAAATGCAATCAAAATTTAACACTACGGCAACCATCCTCAGAAACCTGAAATGTTATATAGGTCTAGATTTATTCTACTTGACTCTGAAGAACAGAACAGACTCAAAGGGAGAAAATGACAGGAAAATACATCTTTATGAAGAAAACTTTCTATTAAGTAGACTTATCCTAAAATGGAGTGAACCTGCTCATGTGGTAGTAAACTTCCCACCACTGGAGAATTCAAACGGTGGCTGGTACAACTCTGAGACCCTGCAGAAAAGATCCACACAGAAGGCTAAGCCGTGTGAACTCTGAGCTCCCCTTTAAAATGCTGTGGCGTTTAGATTTTGTTACAGAGTTCTTTCTCAACTATGACCTGCCATTTACACATGCATCAAAGCAATAAATAATATGAAACTGACTTTTCTGATATTACAAATTGTAACATTACGCATAATCTTACCCACATTCTCTCAGGATATATATCCACTTTCCACTCAGCAGATAACAGGAATTTCAAACAGATTTGAGTATGCTGATTTTGGTCACAGTGACATATCTGGTGTCCTTCGCTGGAACACCTGTTGCTCCCTTACCTGTAGAACGGCCTCCCTGGTAAGCCAAGGGGATCGATGAATGCTCTTTCCAGGAGCATCAGCTGGTCATTCACGATTCTCACTGCAGTGGGGCTTTGAGAATAACAAACAGATGATTAAAACCCTTACCATGGAACTGGATCTTTAAATACTATTACATCTTCTAAAATCATAGTTTTTTTAAAGAAAATGAGTATTAAACACACAGTAAAGCTCATATGATAAGGTACCTATAACAACAGGGGCATCTTTCTAATTTTTATAACAAGCAGAGGGAACTATTGGGACGTGGTCTGTTTTGTTTTTCAGGATCACAGACTGATCAGAAAGAACTGAAAGGCACTTGTAATTCGTTGCAGGAGGAAAGCCAGGCTCCTGCAAAGGCAGACAGGGCGGACCGTCAAGCTGCTCCTGATACCCCGTTCCGTTCTGCTGTGGAAAGTGGAGCAGAATAAAGGCTGAACAGCACAGAAGGAGGGAAAGACGCAGGAGCCTGCAAGGAAGGAGGGAGACAGCTGCACCTCATGGGCAGGGAGGCCCTTTCCCACTTGGAGTCTGCCAGCTCCCTGGGGTGCTGCATGGGTTCCCGGGGCTGTCCCACAACCCAAGGGGCAGAGAGGCCCCTCCCAGGGACGGACACAGCTTTCTGCCTGTACAGGACGGGGAGAGCGTATTCTGATGGTATCTGGAAAAAGAAAGAAATGTGCAAGGACTATTAGGTGGAACAACTTATGCTTGTTAAATAATCCCTTCAGTTATACCTTTTAAATTATTTTTCAACCTAAAAGTGGCAAGAGGTTAAATTTAATGCAAAACTAAAGTATTAGGAAAAAAAAATTTCTACACTGTTCACAGGAATATCGGGACTGGAGTAAAATATGCTACAAATGCACTTAAACCCACAGACTTAGGAATTACCAGCTTTAGTCAGAATCCTGACCAGGCGAAGTCCTAAAGACTTGTCACTTGGGCCCTTGTCTTGCGGTGAGTTTTTAGCCTACCGTTTAACAGCCATGATCCTCAAACTTTAATGTGAATACAAACCACCCAGAGTCTTGTTAAAGTGCAGAGTTCTAATTCAGCAGGTCCTGGCGGGGGCTGAGATTCTGCCTTCCTAACAGCTTCCAAGCTAATGCTGGTGCTGCTGGACAGACAGACCGTGATCTGAGCAGCAGGGATGCAGCGCTCAGGGCTTCGGTGTGTGTGCACAGTTCATTCCAGTCACCACACTGCTTTCTAAACAGTAGGGAAACTTAACTTACTTATTAAGATCAACTCCTGCAAGTCGTCTGTGAAAATCTGAAGCAGCCTCTGAGAAGTTTCTCACAGCAGAAAATAAGGCATCTTTTTAAAAAAATTAAAAAGTAGAAGGGAAATTAGTAAGTACAAGTGATTTCAACGGTTCATTTTCCTGCCCTCCCTCCCCATTCCAGGTTGTTTATGGATGAACAGAGACTGAAGCCACTTTTTTACTGAGTCTCCTTACAGATTCATAGAAATTATTAGAAAGTATTGCAACAAAGATAATGTATACAACTGAAAATGGCAAAAACTGAAATAATGAATTTCAAGAGTCCAGAACATAAATTCCTTTTAACTCAATTTATCTGAAAACCAGCATTCATTCAATACATATTTATATGAAGATGACAGGCCAGCCACTGGATACAGCTATAAATGAGCTATGTTCCTGTAATTACTACAGAGTAAAGCAATGCCAATTTCAGTTTTTAAGCAGTATATTTAAGAGCTTGTTTAAAGCGTAGCCTATGACAAGCTGATATATTTAAACTCTGAGAACTAGAACCCAGTTTGGTCTAGGCTATCTTTTTTCTTTTAAAAGAGCTGATTTTTTTTTCTTTCCAGTTTTATTAAGGCACAACTGACATAAGCACTGTATACTTTTTTTTTTTAAGAGGGAGGTGATTAGGTTTTCTTTATATTTTTAATGGAAACTGGGGATTGAACCCAGGACCACACGCTTGCTAGGCACGCGCTCTACACGGAGCTATTCCCTCCTCCCTAGTCAATCTTCAGTTTACAAAATTTCTAAGGAAAAGGATTAGGTTCTCAGTATATCATATTTTTTTTATTACAACAACCTGTTTATCATTTTCATTCTTTTCTAAACTGGATATTACCATATGTTATTGATTTGTTCCTTGCATTAATCCTGTGATGCAGGAGATATAATATTCATTTTGTAGATGAAGCATCACGGCTCCAGACATGGGATTTCTATCAGATCACAAAGCCAGGAAGTAGTGCGTTCAGCCTAAGTACATTTAGTGTACAAAACAAGATCTCTTGGGGTCTAGAGGTTCTTTGAGATAGTCACAGTTGTTTTTTAAATCACGTATAAATCAAACAATCTAATAGTAGATATTATGGAAACTAAGGGAAAAGAGTGTTGAAGAAGGATTTTAAATTTCAAATGAAGCGCAGAAGTCAAAATAGAGAAGAATCAAAGCACGTCCCTGGGATTTAATGACACGAATAAACGACAGCTTTGGAAAGAGCACTTTCAGTAGCAAGTAGGGACACAAGACGGTGCAGTGCATGGTGGTGCCAGGTAAAGAAGTGGAGGCAGGAAGTGGGGACTGGATATCCATCTATCCATCCTCCCGTTCCTCACTCCTCCTTCAATACAATGTCTGAGGGACTGCTGGCTGATGTCAGATGAAGGTTTGGCTGTGAAGTAGGGCACATCGGGTAGGAGAAATGTGTCTAAGATGGAAAAGATGTGAGAATGTTTAATGCTGACGGAGAGTCACAACAGAGATGGAGAGTCTGAGACTATGAGGGAGAGAGCAGCCTCGGTCCCTCAGAAAGTACAAGGACTCCTGCACCAGGGGAGTCCTGCCCTGTAACTGTCATCTGTCTCTTGACTGGACTCTGACTTGCACAAACTGATAAAAGCTAATTCACCAAAAACACACGGGACACTTAGGAAGAGAACTGGGTGCTGGCCGGCACGGGACCGTGAAGCCCGCCCGCGGCAGGCCCTGCTGAGGACGCCATCTCTCTTCATTTCCCCCGTCGCCAGGCGATTCTCCGATCATATTGATGTAAGCACAATTTCCTTTGCTTCATTTTATTTCTTGATCTTACGCCCTGCTGCTCATCCTAACTTTCCAAAATCACCAGTTCTTATGTAATTATGCTCAAAGGCCGTTACTGAGCCCCTGCGTGACTCCCGGTGCTCCTGTGCGCTCCCTGTGCGCCCGTGACCAGCGCACCCCCGGCTTTCTGGCTTCTCCTTCTTCCCGTGAGATGTCAGGCTCTTTGAGGACAGTGATTCTTTCTTAAACTTCCTTACGCCTCCCAGGACATGACACAGCACTTGGTACACAGTAGGCACTCAGTACACATTTGATAATTTTGGCACATACTAAGATTATATACTCCCAGAACAATAAAAGAAAATGGTTATAATAAAACAGTAGTAATAGCTAACATTATGAGCACTGTCAGTCAACAAATATATATATTTACTATTTCACTCATCATAAAACTGACACACAGAGGGGTTAAGTAACTTTCCCATGGTCACACAGTGACTACATATGACAGCCAGGATTTGAACCAGGAAACTGCTTCCAGACCCAGTGCTCCAAGTTCCTACCCTACACTACACTCTGTTTCATCTCTGTTTTATAGGAGATCCATGATGTGGAACAGCAGCCACAAAACGGCTGAACACAACAGAAAGAATGCTTAAAACTGTGGAAAGTCCTCCACGTAGATAAACGCTAAGATACATGCAGTAAAAATAATGGTAATTGTAAGACATATATGCATGGAATTGGTTTTCTCTACCTTCCAATCTTTGTGTAATATTGTTATATTTTTACAATATTGTTCTTATAACAATAAATGTATTTTTAAAGGCAACAATATAAGGAAAATATTTACCAACCCAATGTTTGTAGCAGCAACTTAGCAAAATGGATCATCCTACAGATAACAAACTAAATCACATTTTTAATAGGTGTTTAAAGTTTTTGTTTTCTGGAAGTCAGGATTAATAAATGAGGCATGGATGCATTCTAGGACAAAACACTATGTATTAGTGACAATAGGAGATGTTATCTTAAAGCTCTAACTTAATGATTATAAGATACCTGCCCCACCACTTCTTACCAAATGATACTCCATGGTCTCTCAGTTCTTGGTCATGTTTCTTAGCTAAATTGTAGATACTTGTTGCATAGGTTTGCAAAGCTTTTGCATAGTCTTGAACATTGAAAGGAATGATCTGAGAGTCTGCAAGCTCATACACCAATGCTCCTCGTAACTGCGCCACAGCAAGCTGTTTGCTAAACGTGGGGTCATAAAACTTCTCTACCAATTCAAACGTCTCGTAAATTGTATGGTACATCGGATAGCTGCTATAAGTGTCTGTTTTCTTAAAAAAGGGAGGGGGGGAACAAGTACAGACAAACATTAAATATTCAAATGATAATATCTGATAGAATCATAAAATGAATGCATTAAAAATATAACCACATGGCGCCAAGTTTCTTACAATGGAGTAAAAAAAGTTAAGTCTAATTAACTAAAACCCTATCACCAAATGTACGCCAAGTTAAAATTTTACCATCATTCGTTTTACAATTCACGTTATCTTCATTCATATTACTGCTTCTTGAAATTTTTTCTTATTGTTTTTCTGATAACTAAAATTAAGGAGCACATACTCAAACTGCATATCAACACAATTTTAAATTATCAATTGACTGGGAATGAAAAGTTCTGGGCAACTAAGTATCGACGTAGCTGAAGGATTATTCAGTTGACATTTGAGCAACATGGGTTAGAACTGCAGGGGTTCACTTACAGATTTTTTTTTTCAGTAAACACATACTACACTCCTATACAATCTCGACTGTAAGGTCAGCTGAGGACCTCACACCACTCTGTCAACTACCACTTCACTGAATACCCTGGCAGTGAAAATTCACAAAACAATCCAAATTATTGCCCGGCCCATGTACAGCGGGCCCTGCAGTCTATCTCTATCCCTGAAATTCTTCCCAGGACACATATCCACCCAGTGTCTCGTGCCAAACGACTAAATGACAGGATCCCTAACAAAATCACTGTGGATGAGGTGCTGTGTGTCCAAAACGACAAAGTGGCTTACCCTGTTCTTAGTGTAACGGGCTCTGCCTGAAGCAATTCCAAGCCTCTGAAAATAAGCTTCAAAATCACTTCCGGATCCCAGCTTGCTGATTCTAAATGTAAAATATAACACACACACACACACACGCACATGAAGAAACAGATGCATGAATAAAGTTAAACAGATGGGGCAATGAATCCTGTCCCAAGAATTGCAGGGAATTGCATGGCACGTTTATAAAAATTAGGAAAAGGTATATTCCACACCCTCAAGACACTTTCCTATCGTCTCCTGGACATGGGTGTGATAAACCCACAAATCCGCAATGATTACAGCCAGAGCTGGGCAGTGACACCAAATGTGGCAGCCTGGTAGCCATGCTCTCTTCCGGCAGCATCTGTGGCATTTGTTTCAAGGGAAAAACAATTAAGATATGATCTGCCTTCAGAGAACTACTGTCTATTAAGAAAATTGCCATGAGAAAGCCTATATTTAAGATCATGAAGAATCTAAATGTGCCTCAGTTTATTTCACTAATAAATCTAATTACAATATATTTCTTTACCTACAATTAAAAAGCCACAACCTACATACATACATTATATACATATATATATAAATGTAATGTAATGACACAGAAAATTTTCATTCAGAAATGGTTAAGTCAGAAAAAAAAATGCTAAGTCAGTAAAACAGAATATAAAATTACATATACAGTAAGAACCTAACTATATACTTCCAAACTATTAGACATGTTTTTGAGATTGAGATCTTGGATGTTTTTAAACCTTTTTTCTACTCGGGTATTTTTTTGACTAAGCATTTAAAACTTTTATAATGGAAATATGTTTAAACTTTCACAAGACTTAATATGGAATACGGAATTAAGCTATCAACTGCTACTGTCAACTGCTGGATTTAGAAACAGTATTGTAGTAGAAAACAAATACAAATCCAAGAACATTGCTGTTGTATAAATTAGAACTAAAAAAAATAAATTAATATTTGTATAAAATCTAAACTAATTACAGGTAACCTGACATAATTTGATGGCTACTGATAATGCTCCTTAGTAAATTAAGAAATTATCCATCATTTGTTTTTTTAATTCATCATTATCACTTGAAGTTATACTTATTCATGCATTTAATAATATCTGAATGTAATTTTACGCATGAATGCAAAATAATGCCTAATCTTTTTACTAAAAACTTGCAATACGAGATGTATCTGCTCTCTCAAATTATTGAGACATCTGAGAACTGCATGTCTGGAGAAACAAGGGGCAAAGGAAAACTCAAAAATTGCTCCTCTGGTAGAAAATATACATACAAGTAATTTACCTGGGCAAAGTTTTATTTTCCGGTGAAGGGTCCTTTTCCAACCAGCTTTCATAAAGTGATTTACCCTCAAAACCATCATCGGGGCTGGAGATCTGGAAACGTAAGTCAAACACTGGGAATGAGAGGCAGAACCACTGAGCTTACGCCAATGTAAAACCACACGTTAGCTAATATCGCCCTCTACTTTTATCTATATGTACATTTGAGTATCATATTCTTTATAGAGAAATATGCTCTTACAAATGGCAAGGAAAAAAATCCAGCCCAGATTCTTGTTCATTTATTTCTAATTCTGCCATGTCCCTAGGAAAAAAAACCTCCCGCTTATTCTGGTAAACTTTTTAATAGCGTTTCAGATTTTTAACACGTGTCACCACTTTAATGTTTAGCACCTCAGATGTCTTTTACTGGGAAGTCACTGGGGGAAATCAGATATAGAATATTTACTTTAGTAAACTGCTTTTGTCCAAGATGACCTACAGTGAGGCCTTGGGGCAACCGACAGATACTAAGAAGCTAAGCTTGAAACTGTCAATATAAATCCTGGTTTTGTAGGTCAAGCGGGGTGAGGAGAAATCTTTTTCTTTTCAGTTTTATTAGGTAGAATTATCACAATTTGACTGCACACACACACATTCTGCATGTTAATACATGTACACAGCATACTGAATATATTTTTTTTGTAGTTTACATGTATGTACTGATCAGTGTTTTCTCGGTGTTCTGCTTCCCCTTTAAGCCCCAGTTTCTCACACATGGAAATGGGGATAAGGGTGCCCATCGTAACACAAACATCATCTCCTCTGACATCATCTCAGGCCTTTCAGAGAGCTGGCTGGTTATTCCCTCATCATCGCACACCAGGTCCTCAGCTTAAAACCAGTCTTGACTCCACCGAGGCCTCCCTTTCCCCACCAGCTTGTTGGAGCTGCTGGGATGCTCTGCCCACTTCCAGCCAGATGACTGGGCTCTGCTCTCTCCTCTGCTCCTGCCCACCTGGAATAGCTGAGACCTGGCTCCAATGCCTCCATCCTGCTTAGACTGAATTACCTGCAAAATCCTCCTCACTTTCTGGATTCACACTATGGCGGTTCCAGCACCAGCCAGAGCTGTGTGCCTTTGGCTTGCGCAGCCTGGATCAGCTCGTCTGTCTCAGCCATCCACACGGGCACAACTGCTGGTCCTCCCCCATTATTCCCACCCTCATGTTCCTTTCTTGCTTCTCTCAGGCAGCTTCCCTTCCCTCTAAGCTCAGCCCTCTTCACCACCCCCACCCTCTCCCCAGGTCACCAGCAGGGTTGGACTGTGCCAACACACTCAGGGTGATAAAATTACAAGAATCCGTTTACAGGAGGGTAAGTCTCCTTCTTCTACTGGGTTTTGGTATGGCCACAGATAAGCATCGGCCTTTGTACAAAGGGGACAGACCCAAGCTTCTCCTTCTTGGCCTTAAATTCTTACTACCCCTTTGATCAAAGGCAGGAGCCTCCTCTATAGGACAGAGATTAAATGCATCTCCTGAGAAGGATTCTCCTGTACGGACTGTCTGTACAGCTTGCTTTCAGATAAGATGTTTTTAATGGGACATTCCAATGAAAGGACACTCACTTGGGAGAAGGAGATGTTAAAGACACTGATAGTGAGAAGGACAGGGCAAGACAAAGGGCGACTGGGAAACAGGACCCACAGAGAGGGGATGCCTACTTCCCACTGTCATCCCAGTGTTACCTACTTGAAAGAAACGTTTCTATAGTTAAATTCTGTAACGGAGGATTGTTTAAATGAAGCACATAGATATTCAACGAATAGATTACATAATTTTTAGCGATTCAAAGTGCATTAGGGTTTTCAGAGCACTTTTTACATCAATAACTAAGTTATAAAATCCCTGTGTGCCAAATAAGCATGCGGAATCATTTCTATCTTGCTTTTAGACTTACTACAGCTTAACCTGTTCACCGCATTGACACAGAGTAATCTTTCTAATGAACAAATATGATAATGTGCAAGCTTGTTAGAGATTCTTTAGTTTCTCCATCACCAGATTTATGAACACTTGGGCCTACCTGTCAGGCCCCATTTCTTACCAGCTTTTTCACACAACACCATATTGCATTACCTACAGGTCAGGAAATACGTTCTTTCACACAACCACATCTTTTTTAGGTCCTGTGTCCTCTGCTGGGAAACCTGCTCGCCTACTTTCACATCCTTCCATTTTACAGCCAACCACTAATTTTTCCATGAACACCTTCTAATGCTTCCCAACCTCCCCAGCTACCCCAGGGTTTTAGCTTCTCTCTTCCATAATTATTCTCCATTGTACACAGTATCCATATTCTAGGGAAGTATGATTCCTCATTTACAGGTCTGTCTCCTCCCTATATTACAAAGTATTTGGATTCAGCAACTGTATCCTTTTATCACTAGAATTCATTTCATAGGGCCTGATCTATAGTACCCACACGATGAATACTTGCTGAATGAATGAATGAATAGCCAAGGCAATCTTCACAGCCAAGGCTTTCCCATCCCAGCTCAGTGTTCTTCCTGTTAGATCAAAATAACTCTGCCACGTGAAACCATAGACACTACACATTACAACAAACATACACAATTATTAAGAACTATTATTAGAACAGAGACTAGCACTACTATTTTCGTAGTTAGGTCACATAAGTAGTGTATTAAAGATTTTGTTCTGATTTGTTATTTATACAAATCAACTATGTCTGTCAATAGTTTAAATATCACTAAATTTAGAAAACAAGAGGTATTCATTTATCTACTCATCAGAAAACATTAAGGCAGATCTATTTACATACCTCTTTTGTCAGCTTATACACCAACTGGAAAAGAAGAGGTGTACAGTCAACTCTGAGAGTATAATTGCCTGAAAAATAAATAAAACAGAGTATTTTAATACTTCCAAATGAATTTCGAACCTATATTTAATTCTAACTTTATTCTCTAATTATAAATAAGATATAATAGACTTCAAATTGAAGGCATCATTCCTGGAGAATTAAAAACAGGGTGGAACCTAGAGATTTATCACATTAAGTGAAGTAAGTCAGATAGAAAAAAAAAAACAGACGATATCATTTATATGTGAAATCTTAAAAAAAAAAAAGATCAAATGAACTTATTTACAAACCAGAAATAGACTCACAGACTCAGAAAACAAACCATGGTTACCCAAGGGAAAAGGGGTGGGGGGAGGGATAAATTAGGAGTTTGGGATTAACATATATACACTACTATATATAAAATAGATAAACAAGTTCATACTGTATAGCACAGGGAACTATATTCAAAATCTTGTAATAACCTATAATGGAGAAGAATCTGAAAAAGAATATATATGTGTGTGTACACACACACACACACACACAACTGAATAACTTTGCTGTAACCTGAAACTAACAAACATTATAAATCAAATATACTTCAATAAAAACAAATACATTTTTAAAATAGATACCTAAGTAGGTAGGTAGGTAGATAGACAGTCTGGCTAAAACTTAAAAAAAAAAAAAGGTGGAAATAATTCTGCAGGAGTAAGAGAGGCTTATGTACACACTCAGGACGGAAGACGGCAGAGGCGGACTTTGCTGCTAAGGCAGCGGCTCCCACAGTCCTAGTAAGGGTCATCGTTCATTACGGCAGTAGCACTTAGGGGGTCTTTGGCAAAAGAAATGGTAAGGCCACAATGTTCATTTCTCATTCATTCATTCAATTCAGTATCAAGACATTAGGTTAGAGCATGTCAGTAACTACTAAGTGTGCTGGGACTCTCATCTAGAAATAATCAAAATACAATGGAAGTCTAGGGATACACACGCCACGTGCCAGGGTCAAAAGGAAGTCTGTAGTCTTGGCTAACTTCAAAGTTGTTCCAGTACATACAGGAAGTATTTCTGTATGAAACATTGTAGCCCAAATTTTAAAAATATCTCCACAGGAAGAATGTGATTAAATACTAGTTTTAAGTAGTAGACCAAGATAGGCAAATGGTAAATGTACTACGGAAATTAGGACCAACAGCTTAGTTATGAATCATATTGATTCCTCTGAATTATTAATGATTTTCTCTCTGGTAAAAGGGAAAATGGAGATACTGAGGCATCTTACAGAAAGAGGATAATCTTAGATAGTTTACAAGTTGGAGTCGATAGACTTAAATGCTGGTATACTATTTAATAACAATCTGAAATAAAATTTACCTTCTATGGATGAATCTGCGTTGATATAGGCAACCCCTCTCTCCTGAAGTGTTTTCACATTCTCCTGTGGTTGAAGCAAAGCTGTCACTTAACTCACACCATTTACAATTGTGCAAATATCAACAACATAAACAAATTAATTCAGTATAAGGATGGTCTGCAAATACCATTATAAATCAAATACCTATGCTTTTCACCATTAATTTCTAAAAAAACGCTATGAACTGGTTGGCTGACAATATTAATGCAATTAAAACAAGAAAGAAAAACATTAGTGATGCTGTAGCTATTGTTCATAGCAAAAGCTGGGAGACCCAGAGGAAAACTATTTTCACAGTGTGGTGCCTGATCCCCTGCACCAGAGCATGAAGGGGGAAGGCTCGGGGATTCTCAGCATCACCCTGGATCTACTGGATAAAAACTGCTCAAAGTAAGCCCGGAAATCCATATTTTTTAAAAGGCAATTCTTACATACACTGAAGTATGAGACCCCCTTGATGTTGGGGACCCATGCAAATATATCATTTTAAAAGACAGAAGCTGGAGATTTCGATGTATCCAAATTTTTTTTGAAAGAAAAGATATTGATGCAGAAAAAGAACAAAAAAAAAAGGAGGGGAGGACAGGGAAAAAACCAGAAGGAGGGAAGGATGGATATTAGGAAAGAGACAAAATTATTTCTCTATCACTCACGAACGTGCACACACACACTCACACACACACATCCTAGAAAGATACAGCAGAGAAAGACGAATGTCATCACACACAGATGGGAATATGCAGAAAGAACTCTTTTCTTCTCTCTCTCTCTAGCTTGCTACCTTATAAGAACATGCTACAGTAAAAACATCTAAAGCTGTGAGTGGTTATCCCACAAATGAGGGTTCTCGCCTCTGCACCTGCCCACAGGGGCCAGATGACAGCTGACTCTGCTATAAACAGAGGCAGAGTTTCCATTACAACAGAGTTACAGTAGAAATAAAGAAGATTCCTTAACTATATGTGAAGAAGGTAAATATGCTGCTGAATATGATCAAGAAGCTGGTAGAAAATGGGAAACAATACTGAAATTGTCTTTTAACCCACATATATTAAAATTAATGCAAGGCATATTATCTTATCTCTTAGATTTATTTTATCTGTATTATAAGCTGCTTAAATTATAGAAACAGAGACATGTACTTATATATACATGTATTCACAAGAAATTACATATTTCTAAAAGTAAATGAGCTTAATGAATGAGATCTGATTCATCTAAATAAGTCTATTCCAAAATGCATATTCATAACACCAACGTAGTAATAAGACTTTGCAATATAAATGGAATCAAAGGTGATACAAGTAACTGTGTGATTTTATTCCCAAACTTATTTGATTCATATTATTATTTTAAAGTATGAGGAAATGAGTCAGAAGAAAAGTATTTTAAAAACCAGACACAATGGCAAGAAATATATGACATCCTTTAAATCAATTCTATAAAATCTGGACTTAGATGAACAGAGGGTGGTCAAAGGAAAGTGCTTTCTGGTGCAGCTGCCTTTAAAAAAGTACACAAGCTTACCTTGCACATTTAAGAACTTAGAGTTACTGGACAGAGAGCCTAAGAGAAGATGAAAGAAGGGAGCCTAGGAGAGACACTTAAAGTTAAAGCATTAAGAGCCAGTGACAAGTGAAAATTAATCATAACTAAAGAGAAAATAAATCCCTGAAATTGTAAAGTAATTCAATTTACAGAATCACTGCATTATACTCAACACGCAGGCCCTTTTGTAGATGGTACACTATACCTATGGTTACAATTTTCTATGGAATCCGTAAAGGTGAAACTATAATCAAAGTATAGTCATCTTAAAAGAGTATCTTCTGTTTTCCTAGATAGAAGAAATCCAAGGAAACTTCAAAAACTTGAAAATTAACCCAAAGGTTCCATACAGTTTTTAGATAAGTTAAGTCACTTGTCAGAAACAGCTTCCTAGACTTGACTATTTTCTGAGCCTACAGATTTTACTTATTTTTCACAAAACAAATACAAATAGAAACTAAGATATTTCAACAATAATGAAAAAACTGGTTTGTGCCCAGTAATTAAGAGATTATCGTTTGGCCAAACTGATGTAAAAGCAAAAACAAACCCTGTTTCTTGAATTCTCTTGAGTATTTATCCAAATTAAAGCCATATTAGATAATGGAACCCATTTGTGATTATCCTGAGATACATATATTTGCTCCCCATTGACCAAGAAAGTAAGTTCTCCATCTTATTTACCTCAGCCCATTCTGTGGAACCCAGAAGTCCAAATTCTTCTGCATCCCAGCTGGCAAAAATGATAGTTCTCCTAGGTCTCCAGCCTGAAATCATTGTTAACATATACAGTTAGGTACACACCTGCCCAAAAACAAAGGAAAAATCACTGAGTCTCTATTTGTCATCACTTGCCAAAAAATCATTATTTACCTCTACTCATCAGCTTTCCAAAACTCTGGACAACTTCTTGCAAACCTGCAGCCCCACTGGTTGGGTCAATACCTCCAAATACCCAGGCGTCCCGATGACCTCCCAGAATCACGTACCTGTCTGGAAAAGAAGGTGTCCAAAAGAACTACGACTTAGAACGCATTATAGAGAGTAGTAACTTATGTTTTTAAATTAAACTTCCTCTTGCTTGAGCTTCCTCCATGGAAAACCATCAACACCATAAGGTAGAGTCTTCTTTTAGAATTTACCATTGTTTATTTTTCAATTTAATTATTTCATATCAGCCAGGAAAATCAAGAGTTGACTAAAATTTATCTTCTCTTACTCTTGTAATCTTTGTAAAAAAACGTTCCAAAAATTTTTTTTAAATTCACCAACTCACCAGGTTCCACAGATCCTCGGATAGTTCCAATTACATCGTAAATTCTTGTGATTTTATTGATGTTATGAACATGCATTTTAACCTTCCTAGAATTTCACAAAGGGAACAAATTACTTCACAGAGCATTATGCCTAACAGATTCCTTCTGATGTTTTATTATGAGAAATCTCAAAAGTACAGAAAACTATTTAATAGGATGATAAATTCCCATATAATCACCACCTAAATTCAGTCACTGTTAATACTGTTGAACCATTTGCAAGTGAGTTGCACACATCGTGACATTTTATTCCTACGTATTAAAGCGTGCACCTTGAGGTCAAATTTTAAAAACCCTATGTCAAAATTTTGTATTTTTCCTTCCTCAAAGCTCTATGGTTGGTATTTAAAGTTCAAAATATTCTGTATTCAACATCTTGGGTATTTATTCGACAACTTTTATACCCTACGTAATTACAAAAATAAAGCAGAGAGACCATTATCTATTAAAGGACAAAGAAGCCTATTTTTCATGTGTTTTGTAGTTACATTAATCCTGCTACTCAGTATCTTTTTCCAACATTACTGAAGTGGTCTATAAGTACAGTGTTAAAGAGCTGACTGAGCGATGCCTATACGAAACATGATAAATTCTATTGTTAAAGGCAATTTGGAAAGCACCTGCTAAAATGTATGAGACAACAATACGATGAAAGTTTTCCAGGCCATCATTGCTGTGGTTCAGATTTGGGCCTGCCTTTTAAATATTCATCACGAAGTTACAATTAACCAAATTAGAATTAATGGGAAAGTACAATAAAGCTCAGAAAGACAGGGGAAAAAAATGTCATTCACATTTCATAAATCCAAAATGACATGAGAAAATGTTGGGCCTCTTTTTCACAAGGGAGCAAAGTTTTTACCTCTGGTGGGGTCACAGGAGACGGGCAAGGAATCCCCGAATTTTCTAATTTGTGGTTCATTCTTGAATGGAAGAACTAACAAGTCAAAACCTATATATTGTGAAGTTGCAGATTCTGGTTTTTCCCTCCGAAAGTATGTTGTACTTCTGAATGTATATTTAATTCATGTCCAATATTCAACTAATGCCTTTGGGGAAAAATTAATCAGGGTGGGTTTTTTTTGGGGGGGCGCATTTGAAGACATTAAGTAAAGGGTCTATTTTTGCTACTGAGAAATAAATTTAACAGCAAAAAGCAGAAATATTACATGTATGCATATGCATGACTGGGACATTGTGCTGTACACCAGAAATTGACACACTGTAACTGACTATATACTTCAATTAAAAAAAAAAAGTATTGTTTAGCATGTGTTTCTAAATATACAGACCTAAAAGCTACCAATTTCATTGATATTAACTCATTAAATGAAGAGAATTAAGAAAAGAATAATACAATAATGAGGAATGAGGAAAAATATGTTTTAATCTAAACATGAAAATAAACATGGGCCATCTGTTCAGACTCTCCAAGAAGTTCATCCACACCTTTAACCCTTACATCTTCCTAGTTTATAGTGTCAGACTCCAGAAGTACCAGAAGGCGTATCTACAGTTGACCCCTGAACAGCACGGGTCTGAACTGCATGAGTCCAGTCACTCGAGGATTTTTTTCACTAAAAGTGCACTATGGTACTATGATCTGCAGGTGGCTGAACACATAGATGTGAAACCTCAGATACAGAGGGCTGCTGACTGAACAGTAATCGCAGATTTTCAACACAGGCAGGAGGCCAGTGCCCCCAACCGCTGCGTTGTTCAAGGGTCAACTGTATTTGTTTGCCCTGTTATCACATTTCAAATAAACTGAACTCCAGAATGCAGGCTCCACTGGGCAGAGGTATTTGCCTGTTTGCTTCGCTGCTGAACCTCCAGTACCCAGAATGGTGCCAGGGGTATAGTAAATGCTCAATAAACCATTGTGAAATGAATGAATATACTCCTGCACGGAAAAATTGAAAAAAACCTTCACTCATACATCAGTTACCTCTGCCTATTACTGTCTTTGACTACACTATTTTACAACTCTGTAGAGACAGAACTTCACTTGCAGAAATGTAGTGACACAAATACTTCATGTCCACTGAAATGCACAATTCGTCTAACGAATGTTCAATTGACTCCTCGCACCCAGTGTGGAAGAAATCAGGTTTTTTTGCTATGAAGCATCCTCATTTCTGCATTCTTAGCAAGTTTATTTTTTTCTGTCATTGAATTGAGTCCCTCCTTTCCAGTTCCCTTGCTAATTAATACATTAAATAAAATTTTTACATATGTTCATTTTGTATTTGTATGAGAATTATGGTTTTACTTTAAAAAAAATCACAGATTATCATTTTTGGAAGCCCAACTGAGCTGTACAATGGATTCACCTTGAAGAACCAGGAACGGGCAGCTAAAACCCAGACGTGTCTTCTTTCAGCTCTCAGATGTAAACCCCAAGCCGCAAAAGAACTGCATCTTGGCTGAATCTCTGTATCTCTAACTTAATTTTTTCCTTATTTTGGGTTTGTTTATGTTTCTAGTTTGCATATGGCAGGTAAGTTACTCCCCATTTGTGGTGGCAATGTTTGGGAATTTGGTTTCATGTCTTGTCATTTGGTAATCTCTGTAAATGGATTAACTGATAATCAAGATTTCTTTTGGGTGAGATGACAGAGAATCTTGTTTTTAGCAATTTTTTAAAACTCTGTGTATTTGTCCACTTAGAGCACAAATCAAATTAAGGGATCTGTGCCCAAGATGCAGGTGAACAGCTTTTTGATAACTTGACCAGGGAAATTTTCTGTTTCTGAGTTTACTTCTGAACTGTGACTGAAGCTACATGTTCTTTGTTTTCTCTGTGTCTGTATGTGTCTGTTTATAAGTCAGAAAGGCCTATACTTTTCATTGTGTCCCTCCAGAGGGTATTAATAAATCAGCTAATAAAGTCTCTTATGTTAAAATAACTCCATTCTGAGTTACAATGTTAAACAAGCACTTATATAAAATATTTCTGAAATTCCTATGAAATAAATTTGAACTAATACCTTAAAAGTTGTGAAATTAAAAACAAATTCTTATAGAACTTAAAAAATACTGTAAGAATCTAAATTCACATTGTTAAGGTGAATCATTAGCAAACAAGACCGAGCTAATGATTCTAGTTGAATAAAAACAGCTACATCTTCTCTGACTCATCAGTGTGAAGTTTCCCTTTCCCTCTACATTCCAAGCAAATTGAACTCCTCAGAGTTCTGATCGTGCCATGCTGGTTCCCAGCTCTGCACAAGCTGTTCTCTGCAGCTGGCGCTTCCTGCCGATCTTGATCCAGTGGAAATCTTACTCTTTCTGCAAAATTAAGCTCAATGAACACATTTCCTGTGATCATTCCTCCTCCACAACAGTGCTGTCCTGGGTTAATAACAATAATAACTATAATGATAAGTGCATCGAGCCTTATCATAGGTACGAGCTCACCCATTCTAACCATTTACCCCACCCCCACAGGAAGTGATCAGCAAAGTTCGGCTCCTTTCTCTCTTCTCTTCTACTCCTTCCTTTAAGTTAACGTAGTGTTTTGCACGCATAGCATTCTGATAGTTACCTGAAACACTGTTTTAAAACGTTAGTTGAAAAGGGAAGTTAAAATGTTAAACATGTTAGTCAAATGGAGTAATTTTTAAGATCCACGAAACAAATGTGCTATCACTGTTGGAAGAATTTAATACATCCATCCATAAGTACTTTTTAAGTGATACAAAAGATCAATTGTTTATTATGAAAAATGAGAAAAAGAAGGTAAACAAAATATATCGGGCAGAAGACCTATCTTGGTATTGTTTCATTAAACATAAAACTTTTCCAGGATACTGAAGTGATGTGACATTACCTGAAAGAACCATGCCCTGTAAAGCCAGGTCCGATATTGTAATCCACATCAAGGCTTCCCTTCCAGCTCGCATCTGGTGGAGCAGCGCCTCCCAGGTAGCTGTCAAGGGAAAATGAAAATCACAGAAAAAAGCTGAGCACCACGACAGAAGGAATCATAAAGTGTGACGACGAGATCTTTCACTCATTTAACACGTGTCTACTGAGGATTTATTTACTAGGTGCCAAGTACTGTAAAATTCCCTTCCCTCATGGAGCTTACATGGGGGCGAGAGCCACAGCTGAGATAAAATAAGGAAAGCACTTCCTAGGTTAGTGACAAGAGCTAAGGAAAAAACAGAACAGTGAGGGGCAACGGGAAGCACCAGTCTCTTTCCATGAGGTCCAGGAAATCCCAAACATATGAATTTCATGACTGCGTTAAGGAAAAGAAATTACTTTCTAGAGAAGCTGCTGATTACACAGTAGCCACTCATAAAGCAATTATTAAGTTGTATTGGGACATACATTAAAAAGTGGAAGTTAGGAAATCTGAAAAGGAACAATAGTTTTGAATACAATAAGAGCAAACTTTACTTGAATGTGTATCATATTATAGATACTTACACACATGACCTCATCTACTTACACTAACTCTATCAGGGAGAAACTATTTCTTCCTTTTATGGTGAAGGAAACTGAATCACAGAAGGACTGAGTAGCCGGTACAAGGTCACGTATCCAGTAAGTGGCGGGCATGATCACATTTGTAAAATGCAGGTCAAATACAAATATCAAATCTAAGAAAATCTAACTACTTGGAAAACCTCAAATCTGTACTTTTAACTTTGGACATAGTTTTGCTTTGGAGACTTTCATTTGTAGCAAACACAGTAATGTCTTCTTATTATTTCTTAGCTACTAAACTGACTGCTCTTCTTAGAGAATAAAAAGATGTGCTCTTCAGGGGTAATTCTGGTACAAGATGTTTTAACATAATTAGGTTACACTGGCTTTAGAAGAGAAAATGGACATATTAATGTAAAGTATTTTATTCTCAAATCCAATGAGAAAACTGTACCGTAGTAATACTTCTGCATCATTATATCCAATGGGATGAACAGGGATCTGGGGGATTCCCACTCCATCTTCAACATCAAGTCTAAAGGTATACTCTAAAAAAGACAACAGCAAAAAATGAACCCAAAGGAAGAATCTGAGCAAGGGAGATAAAGGAATTTCTTCTATTACCATTGCAGAGTTGCTCTATGTTTGAAATTATATTAAAAATTTAAAGTTCTCCAAAGTCAATGATGATTTTACCTAATATGGTCTATTTAATTCAACAGTAAGAAATTAAATCATTTACATTTTAATGTAAAATCAATTACAGGAATTATATATTACAAACTTGCTTTGACATTTCATATAATTCTCTTAAATTTTACAAGAACATTTTATTTCTTCAAGGATATCTAGAGAAGCTTCAGTTGACCAGATGCCTGGAAAATATGTTCCAGATTCTGAAACTAGAGATAACTGAAAAAAAAAATTTTAAAGAATTTATGAGATACTGGGAGTAAGTTATAAAGATGTCATTCAAATAGTAATACAATAATCTCCTAAAAGGAAGACTGAAAAGTATTGTCAGGCTTAAAACCTAATGCGAACATTGGCTTTCAGCCAAAATAGAATTGTATAGAGCGTTAAAACACCTATCTTAGAAAAAAAAGGGAGATAACAAACAAATGACATCAGATTCCACCTTAAAAAACTAGAAAAAGAGCAAATAAAGCAAAAATAAGCAGGAGAAAGGATATACTAAAGATCAGAGCAGAAATCTAAGTGACAGGAAACAGAAAAATGATAAAAATTATTAATGAAATCCAAAGGTGGTTCTGAGAGGATTAATAAAATCGATAAATCCCTAGCAAGACAGATCAGGAAAAGAAGAAAAAATGTATAAATTGTCAGTATCAGGAATAAAAAGATAATATTATGAACTGCATGCCCATAAATTCGACAACTTAGATGAAAAGGACAAAACCCTTGAAAGAGACAAACTACCAAGCTCACTCAAAAGTAGATAACCTTGGAGTGGGAAGGGATTAATGGGAATTCAAGATGTGCAAATACTACTACTATATGTAAAATCGAGAAGCTACAGATTTCTCCTGTATAGCACAGGGAGCTATATTCAATATCTTACAGTAACCTATAATTAAAAAGAATATGAAAAGGAATATGTATGTGTATATGTATGACTGAACTATGATGCTGTTATTTTTCTTTCTCTTTCTGGCTTACTTCACTTAGAATGACAATCTTCAGGTCCATTCATGTTGCTGCAAATGGCATTATTTTATTATTTTTATGGCTGAGTAGTATTCCATTGTACAAGGGCGGGAAGGGAGTGGGTAGGGATAAACTAGGAGTTCCAGATTTGCAGATACTAACTACCATATATGAAATAGATAAATAGCAAGTTTACACTGCATAGCACAGTCAACTATATTAAACATCTTGTAGTAACCTATAATGAAAAAGAACATGGAAATGAATATATGTATGTCTTTGTATGACTGAAACACTATGCTGTACACCAGAAACTGACACACTATAACTGACTACACTTCAATTAAAACAAACAAACAAAGAATAAATAGATAACCTAAACAGCCACACATCTATTGAAGAAATTGAATTGGTAGTTTAAAACATTCTGACCAACAAAATGTCGGACCCACCGATATGAATTCACTGAAGAATTCTACCAACATAACAGACAAAATCAAACCCATTCTATATAAACACTTGCAGAAAAATGAAGATGAAATAGTTCCTAACTCATTCCCTGAGGCCAATGGTACACTGATGCCAAAATGAGACAGAGATATTACAGAAAATAAACTTATAGAAGAATATTCCTTATGACTAAAGACAGACTCTTAATAAAATTTTAGCATTAATCACACAATATACCAACAATATACAAAAGAATAATACATTGTGACCAAGTAAAGTTTATCCTCGGTTGTTTTGGTTTAATATTCAAAAATCAATCTGTATAATTGAACAAAAGTAAATAATAATAACTTAAGATCATTTTAGTGGATGCAGTAAAAGCATTTGACAAAATCCAGTATGTACTGATACATGTGCTAAGATAAAAACCTGTAGCACTTTAGAACAGAAGCGGATTTCCTCAATTTGACAAAAAGAATCTACTTAACGACCTACAGCTAATATCATACTTAACAGAAAAAGACTGGAATAATCTTTGGGACAGGATCAAGGTAAGAATATCTACTCTAACAACTTTTTTCAACAATATTCTAGAGGTACTAGCCATTACAATAAGAAAAGAAAATCCAGATTGGAAATATAGAAATAAAACTGTCTTTATTTGCAGATGACATGACTATCTATGCAAAACTGATGCACAGATGCAAAAAAAACTATTAAAAACCTACAGCTGCTTAACAGAGAAAGACTACATTTAATTTCTTAAAAAGTTATACATCTCTCTTATTATCCAGCCATTCCATTTCCATGTATTTACTCAAGAGAAATAAAAGCATACATATATAAAATGACTTGCATACAACTGCCCATAACAGCTTTATGTGTAATATTCCCAAAACTAAAAGCAATCCAAGCTTCAAACAAATGAATAAACAAACTGTAGATTATCCATCCAATGGAATATCATGCAGCAAAAAAAAAAAATTTGAAATGAAATACTGATACAGATACCAACATACATAGATCTCAAAATAATTATGCTGCCAGAAAGCAAATCAATGAGGGCCTAGGGACTTGCAAGGAAGTAGGTAGGAAGGGTTGAAAGGAAAGCTTTACAGAGATGAGAGGAAACTTCTGGGTAATGGATACGTTCATTTCTTAACCTTGGAAGTGATTACACAAATGTCAAAACTTTTCACATTCTACATATTAAGTAACACACACAATAAAAACTCATTGGTATTTTTTAAAATACAACTGTGTGATCTAGAGAAGAATAAAATCACTGGGCAATTCAGGAATCCTAAATTCTAGTTTGGTTAAGAGTAGTATCACTTTGGACATGAGGATCTGTTTCTGAACCTCTACTAAAGGCAGAGAACTGAATTGACCCCTCTCCTCTCCATGTCCACACCTCAGGAAAATTTAAAACTAAAGTCATACGAGAGAAAGGCTTTTGAACTCCTAGCTACAGCAATCCCAAATATAACTGCACAAAGTTTTGATGTCATTCTATAGATGCTTGTTTATATGCCTTCTAAAAGGGCTCATCTCTTACCTTTAGCTGGATAGCCTGGAGTGAGTGGGTCACCAGCACCATTCAAATTTAGCACATTCCCTCTCTGGGCTGTTGTTCCAGGAAGGTTCCAGCCTTTGGGATATGGCTGCACCCCAGGGGCAGAGTAGTCAGCTGGATCTGAGTACAAGATGATTCCGATGGCTCCTGCTAGCATGGCATTTTTAACCTGCGGGGGTAATGTGCAATTTATAGTGTAGAAAGGTCAGGTGACTGACTTACCTGTCTAATAGAAAATCGGTTTAATAATGTAAGGAAACCTACACGCTGCTTTTTTATCGTGCTGTTACACACTCAGTTCTCTTTGCCTTGAATATGATTTATCTCTTGGTAGACCTAACAACTCTCATTTATTCAACATAACTCCAAACAAATCACTGCCTTTTCTGTGAAACATTCCTTTTGTCCCTAAAACTGCAAAATTAATGTTTCCCTTCGTTACACGTCTTTTTTATTTTGTATATATTCCTGTTATAGGATAAGATCAAAGCATTGTAAAATATCTTTTAAATATCTTTCTCCTCTGCTACACTGAGGGTGTTTTTGAGAACAGGGACCGTGTCTTATTCACTTTTACTACCCACCCTCCAACATCTGGCAAATACAGGAAGCACTCTACAAATATTTGTGGAGATAATTTACAGTTCTACACAGAACAGCTGTAGTGTGTGAAACACTGCCCAGAGTGTTTTGTAAACACTTTTCTAATAATCCAAACAACCACAAATAGGAAAATCAATCCTGTAAGATACTGAATTCTTCATCACCAGAAGTATTGTAGCAAATGATAGATAACCATCAGTCTCAATCAACTCACTTCCCAATCCTCAGAAAGCACTCTTGTAATATCAGAGTACAATCTGCCACAAATTTTTGAAGCGCAATTTGATGATGTCTATTAAACTTTTCAAATAATATACAATCAAACCCTTGAACAACTCAGGGGTTAACGAGTATAACCTATAGCCGCCCCTCCATATCCGCCATTCCTCTGCATGTATAGATTCAACCCACCAACGCCCATGTAGTACTGCAGTGTTTACTTTTCAAAAATATCTGTGTATCTGTGGATCAAGGCAGTTTAAACTCGTGTTGTTCAAGGGTCAACTGTACACTATGATTTATCCATTCAACTCCTAGGAATAAATGTATACTATAAAAATCCTCACACAAAGGTTCAAGTACACATGGACAAAGATGTTCACAATAGAATTATTCACAATAGTAACACGTTTAAGACAAGCCAGGCATCTGTCAACAGAGGAATGATTAAATAAACTGCTTATCAATTCTGTGAAATATTATGGTGTCATCTAAAATAACAAAGTATTTACTCAACAAGCAGGTATCAAGAAATTACTAAGCACCAATAACTATGTTAAGTGCTTTCAAACATAATGTCGATTAATTCTAATGAGGATTCTAAGAGATTAGTGCTATCATGACCATTCCTATTTCATACATGAGGAAACACTGGCACAGAAGTAACTTGTTCACAGAAAAAGTTGTAGAGAATAGGGGACTCCAGACCAGCCCAGAATCCAGGTTGCATGGATCTAGACACCCACGCACTCCACCATTTCATTGCACAGCTCTCAACGTGTGGATGTGGAAGAATGCCCTTGAATTACTGCTGAGTGAAAAATGAAGCTATGCAGCATATAGTGCCTGATGCCCTCTTTGTAAAAAAAAAAAAAACTTATTCATAGAATGAGTAAGTAGACACATATTTAAATTCATATTTCATAGAACTAGGTCTGGAAAGAATTGTTAAAATTGATTATGTGTGGGCAATGAAATCGAGCAATGCAGGGGTAATTTTCATTTTTTACTTTATATAAAATTCCTTCCATGAAATTAAACAAATATTGCTTTGGTAATAAAATTATTAAAAATAATTTTCCTTTATAGATATGTGACAGGATTTTTTGTGCCAACAAAAGAAACAGCAAATTTATATACATCTAAAGCAATTTTGGAAACCGTAATGCAAGCTGATCATTTATATTAATAGCTTATATCTTATCTTCCTCCCTCTAGAAAAGTAAATAACACAATACTTTATTTCCTCTGAAGATTTTCCCGTATCTTGCAATAACAATCTTTCCAGTACAGCTGATGTTCATCTCCCTTTCTAGCTTGAAAAAATCTTCAGTACGAGCATAGTTCACATATACAAGCTCTCCCTGTAGGAAAACAAAAATAAAACTAAACAAAAAATATATAATACTGCTATAATTAAAGAGAAAACCAAAGAATAAGTTTGTTTCACAATATTGCATCATCCAAAGTTATCTTCCCTGTCTTGGGCTTAATAAATAGATACATACTAATTCTGTGTTAAGTCTTTAAAAAATATTTCAGTATCCTCAAAGTTTAAAAAACAAAAAAGGACAATATATAAAACATTTTAAACAGTGTGTTCTGTTACGAAGAAATTATCAGTGTATACTGAACCACAGAAACCAGATAAATAAAAGTAATTTAAAAAATTCTAACTATGTTTAATTTCCAACCATGGTATTGACTTAAGAACTTCTGTAATGTGATCTATAAAATCAGACCTATAAATCTGTAACAAAGACTATGAACAAAGAAAAAAACCTTGTAAAAGTATCTGTTGCCCTTACTTAATTAAAGGCATGTTCAGCAGTTTCTCTGTTATTTCAAAGCATGGCATCTGTTTCATCAGGGTCTGATTTTTATATATTTATTTTATTTTTTTCTTTTTATGTTTTTTTATTTTTTTAATTATTTTTATGGACAGTATATACATCAGTGAACAACGTATGAATCAGCATGTATGATCCAATTAATCTCCTTGGCTTTGGTCTTCTACATAGGTTTTATATAACAAAGCAAGGTTTAAAGAGTTGAATAAAAAATGTCTTTTATTTTACCTCTGGCACACCTTGGGGTGAGAAAGCGTTATACGGCGGCACAATATTGGTAACATTCTCATATCCATCTGGTGGTGGCTCAAGGTATGATGTTTTGAAAATCTAGCAAGAATTGAAACACATCAAGTTAGAAGTAGTCCAGATTGTTTTTAAAGAATAACACATTTTGTGGGCAGGAGATCTAAATAGACATTTCTCCAAAGAAGACATATAGTTGGCAAACAGGCATATGAAAAGATGCTCACTATCACTAATCAGCGAAATGCAAATCAAAACCACAATGAGGTATCATCTCACACCAGTCAGAAGGGCCATCAACCAAACGGCTGCAAATTACAAACGCTGGAGAGACTGTGGAGAAAAGGGAACCCTCCTACACTGTTGGTGAGAATGTAAACCAGTACAGCCACTATGGAAAACAGTACGGAGTTTCCTCAGAAAAATAAAAATAGAGCTACTATATGATCCAGCAATCCCACTCCTGGCTGCATATCTGGAAAAGACAAAAACTCTAACTTGAAAAGACACATGCACCCCAATGTTCACAGCAGCACTAGTTACAATAGCTGAGACATGGAAGCAACTAAGTGTCCATCAACAGATGACTGGGTAAAGAAGATGAGGTATATACATATACACACACATGAAATATATGTACCTACATACAATGGAATATTATTCAGCCATAAAAAAGCATAAAATAATGCCATTTGCAGCAGCAGCATGGATGGTTGGACCTAGAGAATATCATTCTAAGTGAAGTAAGTCAGACAGAGAAAGACAAATATTACACAATATCACTTCTATGTGGAATCTAAAAAATAATACAAATGAATCTGTATACAAGACAGAAGTAGACTCATAAACATAGAAAACAAATTTATGGTTACCAAAGGGAAAAAGGTGGGGAGGGGGTTAAATCAAGAGCATGGTATTAATAGATACACACTATTATATATAAAATACACAATAAGGATTTACTGTATAACACAGGGAACAATATTCAATATCTAATAATAACCTATATTGGAAAACACTCTGAAATACATATATATATATATATAATTATATATATATATATATCTGAATCACTATGCTGTACACCTGAAACTAACATATTGTAAATCAAATATTACTTCAATTTAAAAAAAAGAACAATGCATTTTGCCCGCAAGTATCCTGAAATGAGGTCCTATAATTAAACAGATTAATTCCATTGGCAATGATGAGAATGAGGTTTACCATTATTATTGTCTTCAAAATAGTAGAAACGTCTATAAGTGCATGCAATCTCATGTAACTAAAAGTTCCCCTCTTAAATATAAAAACAGGGCTTCAAAGGTGGCACTCTCACGATTCCCCTCCTTCTCCAACTTTTTTTTTCAGCTTTCTTTGTGGGCCCCTTTTATTTCAAATGCATTCAAATCCCCAGTCCACTGCTTGCTCATTTTAAACTCCCTGAGATTTCACTGACTCTCAGAATATTATTCATAGCTAAAATACTTATGAAGCCCCAGTTTCAGACTTGTATATTTAAGGGCCTGAGACACTTCAGTTTGCATGTCCAAACTCAGTACATCTAAATTTGAATTTATCTTCTGTCACCCCAGGTGCTTCTGGGTCTGCATTCCCTACCACTACGAACAGCATCACCGCCAGCCGGACACCCGGGAGTCATCCTGAACTCTGTCTTCACCTCCTTCCTCCAGTCCATCGCTCATCAAGTCCCACTAACACTGCTTCCCAGCTATGTCACAAATCCAACCCTCTTCCTCATTCCTGCTAACATCCCAATTCAGTGCTCTATCATCTTTTACTGGACTATTGTCTTAAGACTCCAACTTCAGCCCCTTGCGTAGTCCAGGTCTCATCTGCATACGGTCCAAACTACCTACAATGCCTCCCTGCCACATCCTTCCATTGCTTAGGATTGTCAATGGTTCCCATTGACTCACGTTGAATTCTAAGCTCCATAGGACAGAGTATAAGTCCTTCTATGACCCATCCCCAAAACATATATACTGGTTTCTCTTATCATAGCCTACTTTGAATTCTTTTTTCCCAGCTTTACTGAGGTATAATTGACAATGCTATAATATAATTAAAGTGTACAATGTGATGACTTTTTTATTGTAGTATAGTTGATTTACAATATTGTGTTAGTCTCATGTGTACAGAAAAGTGATTCATATATACATATATATTCTTTTTTTCAATCATCTTCCATTATAATTTATTACAAGGTATTGAATGTAGTCTCCTGTGCTGCAGTAAATCCTTGTTTATGTATTTTATACATGGTTGTGTGCATCGGTTAATCTGATACTCCCAATTCATCCCTCCTTTGCCCTTCCCATTTAGTAACCATAAATTTGTTTCTATGTGTGTAAGTCTGTTTCTGTTTTGTAAATAAATTTATTTCTACGACTTAGATCCCACATATAAGTGGGATCTTTGACTTATCTCACTTAGTATGATAATCTCTAGGCCCACTTTGTGTATTTTACTCTCTTGAAATACAGAAAACCTCTTTAAGTTCCCCCAACAATACTAAACAGTACGTCTCTAAGCTTTTGCCAATATTTTCTCTTCTTCCTTCTCTTCCTTTGCTTTTTCATTTGGCTTAGGATCTCTCATGACTCACCTATCAGCTCTTCCAGGAAGCCTTCTCTAACTCCCAGGCTGCGCTGAGCGACCTTTTTCTGCGTAGAGAACCCTAGTCACCCTCTTCACTAGCACTTACCATATTGATCTGAAATGTGTTCCAATGTCTGCCTGACTTTATCTAAGCAAAGAAACCATGTCCTAGTCTTCATTCTGGCCTCACGACTAGTCCTGTGCCTAACATATAGCAAACACCAAATAATTCATTTGCACCTTATTAACTTTTGTAAAAAAAAATAAAATAAAAATAAAATAAATTAGCAAATTTCTAGTTTTACCTGACCCTAAATTCCAATTCACATAAAAAGGTGGAGTTATAAAGTACAAGAAGTACCAACAATTCTGCATCACCTCAATTCCATGCTCATCCATGACTGATATATAGTTGGCATTCGTCATGTTAGGATAAGAAAGGAGAACATCATAATGAACCAAATCGGCTGAATCCAGTCCAAACTCCTTCCACTGGGTTTGGATTTTCTTGGCAAGTAGTAAATTTTGTTCTGTCCCTGCCAGATGAGGTAGTGCTGTAAAAGAACTAAGATGAAAATAAAAGTGGGAGGTAAAAGACGACATACATTCAGAAAATTCAGAATAGATCATGTTTGCCAGGCAGTCTTGTTAACATACATTTCTAGAGCTGTTTTCATACTATTGCATGCAATTGTTAAAGTCCACGCATTTTTATTTTATATTCTCTGGTGCTCAGCTCTTGCCTGTTCTCCAGGAATTACACCATACAGTTTGGCTGAATTGAATTTGGGCACTGCTCTCTTGGTCCTGGGTCTAAATGATCTGAAACAGTTAAGTGACTTCACATAGTTCTGAATGAAATCCACTTTGCTTGAGGTGAACAATACTTCAACACAAGTTTCCCAAACCCCCTCCCTCCATAAGCATGGCAATGATACGTCTGAAAATTGCTTTTTTTGTCAACCACAGGACAGCCAAGTAAGATCAGCAGTAAAAGGAAAATCAGTACTTACTGAAAACTTACTATATGCCAGGATCTTAACCGGGTATATCTCATTTCATCCTCACAACCCTTCTCCCACTGTCCCCATTTTACAAATGAGGAAACAGAGTAGTTAAATAACTTGTTCATTATTTTCTATTAAATTCCAGGGCTAGAATCTGAAAGTTGCAGCCGTCACACCTTGAGAAATTGTGAGTTTTCTTTTTTTTTTTAAATCACTGATCTGATCATTTTGATCAATGAATTGCTTAAAACCCTTCTGTGGCTCCCTCCACCCTGTATTATAAAGTTCACACGGAGCACAGCATCTCAGCCTTTTCTATCTGAGCCATCCTTTCAAACGGAGAAGGTTCATTTCCCATCACTCACCTTATGAACTTCTCTGCTCTGTATCATTTAATATACCAACATGTCTCCTACAATGACCACCTTCTGAGCCTTTGCACAAGGTCTTCTCTCAGATGTAAATATCATCCTATTTACATGAATCTCCCTGTATCACCACTTCTTGTCATTCACCTTTCCCACCTGTAAGCTATTAGCCAACCATTAGGACTCCTCAAGCATCTTCTCTTCTGTAAAGCTTTCCACTTCTTACATCATTGAATCAAAACTGCAAGTTACTGATATTTAATACCTTGCAATATTTGTTAAAAAAAAAAAGGTATTAATGTGTTTATAGACAGAAGTTACTTTATAGGTTTAGGAAAGCCAGAGCAGCCAGGGCTATTTAAATTCAACTTTACATAATTCATTATTGTTTTATTTTCTATAATGAGCAAATAGTATTCTCACAATCGGAGGAAAAAAGTGTATTTCCTGATATTAAGATGGGAGTAAGAAGTTCTGCCTCTCATCTTTCAGGCAACCCACGGAAATGAAATACAGAGGTGCAAAAAAAAAAAAAAAAAAAGGCACCAGGGTATAACTTCACTGAATTCGTCCTTACAGTCCCAAGTTGGACACTGCAGCTCCAGGCATCACATACTCACGCTGTGATGTTCAGAAGAAATAAATACAAACAAGAACTGCTATTTCCTCTTCTGTTTCTTTTAACAGAGGAAAACAGACCCTTTTTATAGAGGGTCTCAGCTCAATTTTTTTCCCACTTCATCAGGCACAATGAGGCCATATACCTCTTCTCAAACTAACCTTTGCCCGAAGGAAGTCATAATGATTGGATTGTGGACCAGTCAAGAGATTCCCAGGCTGCAAGAAAGGTAACCCTCACTGAACACACGCCTTCCCCGGGGGAGGGCGACCACGATCAATGGTGGCCCTGCCAACAAGAAAGTGGCTGCGGAGAAACCAGCTCCCACTCCATTAATCCCTTTAAACCAATCTTGAATCCCTCCTTCTCCTCCAAGACTCTTTCACTGGTCATGAACCTCTACTCTATCAACAATTATATTGCCTCAGGGCCCTCTCTGAATGTTTGCTTGACTCCCGGCATTAACTGGTTTCCTGAGAGGACCCTGCTCACCAGCAAGCTCTCTTATTCCACATGCTCCCCCGTATCTCAGGGCCGGAAGATCAGCTAGGAGTCCTTCTTCCGCTCCACTGGCTCTTTCAAATGGTTTTCTTTTTCTTTGTCCAAAAATAACAACTCTTTTAAAGCTCATACCAAAAGCCACCGCCTACCATGCCTTCTAGGTGCTTTCAAAACTGTGGTCACTCCTCTGTCATTCACTAAAGTCTTGGGCTTCTAATTCAATGTGATTCACTCCACCTCTATTCTTGTCATCATTCTTGCTGTGCAATTTCTAGCTTCCGTTGGACGTAAGGGAAAGAACACCCAACTCCAACAAGATAACATCATGCACTATTCATACATAGCTTATCACCTTATGCTATATTACACATCAAAGCAGAGCTAAAATAAACAGACACAAATGTTAATCTTAGGTCAAGAGCATCACCACATGTTGCTTCGGACAGCTGATGTAATTTTCTAGGTGATTTCTTTTGGACACTTCGTGATATGCTGCAGATAGAGTTCAACAGTGTTAAATTTTACTTGCTCTCTTGAACATTTTTAGATATAAGCATTGTCTCATTTAATAAGACAATCTGCCATTTGAATGTATTGCATGAGAAATGAGTGAGTCTTTCTTCAAACGACATCCATCTTACTGCCTACAGATTCTTTGCCTATCTCTCCAAACAAGCAGCTCAAATGAGACATTTTGATTTTGGTTTCCTGATATCTGATGTGCCTCCATCATAAATAAGCTCAGATTTCATAAGAACAGTATAGCTGTTTTCATACCTCTTTACGAGAGTTCACTCTAGTTCACCCATGGAAAGTAAGACGGAACTTTGTGTTCTCATCAAATCACAGGACAGAGATGGGGAGGAAATACACTATTCTGTATGCAGGTCACCTTGTTCATTTGATTCTTGGGTTTGACTAGAGTCTCAGAAGGAGAGAAGAGAGAAAATGCTGCAGAAAATTTTAAGAAATAATGAACACCACCTTCCTAAAAGCAGTGAAAGACGTAAGTGTACACAGTCAAAAAGCTCAGAGAGCCATAAACAGAACAAATTTGAAGAAAACTATGCCTGGCACACAGTAAAGCTGCTGAAAATTAAAGACATGTGATATTTAACTTAAAAGACTTTGGACTTTCCACTGAATGCAAATACCAGCCAGAAAACAGTGAAAGAACATTCAAGGTTCTGAAACAAGGAGAAACAAGGTCATCTTAGAATTCTATATGCAAGAAAAATGTGCTTCAAAAATTAAGGTGAAATGAAGATTTTACAGGTGAAGAAAAACTAAGAGAATTGGTCACCACCAGACCCACATTCCAGGAAGTGCTTAAGAAAATTATTCAGAATAAATAAAAGTACCACAGGATAACCTAAATTGTCAGAAACAAACAGACCACTGGCAATAACAATAACAACAAAAAAAATAGTATTTTATATTTCTCAGATATTTAACTCTTAATTTGTTTCCAAGACATATAACTGTTCAAAGAAAAAGATTATAACATTATTTAGTGAGGTTTTATATTGTATGCATATAGGATATTTTTGATAGCTATCACATAAAGGATGGTAGAGAAGAGGGTAAATGGACAAACAGAAATGTGAGTTTTCTGTATTTTATGTTAAATGGTACAACAGTAACTGTAAAACTAGAGTGAAGCATTAGAGAGGTATCATGGAATCTCTAGAAGACTAACATAAAAAAAAGTGCAAGAAGGTATAGTCAAAAGATTAACTGAAATGAAATAAAATTTCAAATGCTCTCCTCACACCAAAAAAAAAAAAGACAGAAAATAAGAAGTAAAGGAACAAAAACAAAGGGAACAGAGAATAAAGTGGCAGACCTAACTCTAACCATATCAATAGTTAATTCTAAGTTAACAGACTAAATGCTCAAATTAAAAGGCACAGACTACCAAAATTAATAAAACAGCATGTGGCAATTATATGCTCTCTACTGAAGGTTTATTTTAAAAGTAAGTTGGTGGATTAAGTTAAGAAGATATACCATACAAATGTAAGTGTAAGGAAGCTGATGTGGCTCAATTTATACAAAATATAATAGACTTAAAGATAGAAATTATTACCAAAGATAAAGAAAGACATTTCACAAATATAAAAGTTAGTCCTGTCTTGAACACATAACAATACTAATGTACGTATGCCTAATAAATGAGTTTCCTAATATATAATGCAAAATTTTATGGAATTAATGGGGGAAATAGACGATTTCACATTCCTGGAGCATTTTGTAACACCATTCTTGATAGACTGATCCCTCCAAAAAGCATCAGTAAAGAAATAAAGGTATCAACATATTAACCAGCAAGGAAGAAAAGAAGGACAGTCTTGTGATCATATAAATTAATGCAGAAAAACCACTTGACAACCGCCAACTAGAGTGTCCCTCACCATCCAGCACTCCAAGGACTAGGTCATTAGACACTGCAGTAGCCTAGCTCCAACACACCCGAAAGGAATTCAGGATAGAGAGCAGGAATGAGGAACTCTATGCTCTGGGAAAACTGGTAGACCAGGCCTAACTATCCTTACATGTTTTCAGGAGAAAATTTTATGAACCCAATTTTGGCATCTGCTCATAGCTAGAGAAGCACTAAAATCCTTAATGGAGACATCTGCTCCTCGGGACCAGCAGTCACTGTCTGCCGAGATGTGTGCTTGATTGTACGTACCCCCTTCACCAAAACCACGTGTGTACTGACCTCCCTCCACCCCCTCTTCGGAGCAGCTCCACAGAGCTATCTGAGGCCACCTCCTGGGCTATAGTCATCAGTAAGCCCCAAATAAAACTGAACTCACAGCTCTCATGTTTTTCATTTTTTCCCACTGGGCACAATATTAATACCTATGGGAGCCCATGATTGGGTTAACAAATTGTAACAGACCCCAGCCGCTTGTCTCCTTAAAGAAGAACAAATGTGCTCAGTAACTGCCTTGCAAGCAGGTGCCTGTGCATCCGCACTCCCGTCTTCTTGCCGTAAAAAGCAGAGAGGATGCCTTGCTCGCATAGGTTAGGTTTTAGATAGCACTCTGCTCATTGCGACCCAGGCCCTCAGCTATAAACACTGGGCGTGCCTGCTGTTAGATAGTCTTCTGTCCCCAGACAAGACGTGGCCGGTCTGGCAGTCTGCTCTAAGGTATCTATAACAATGTACCTCGTTCCCCTCTCCCCGTGACTTCTCTAAAGATAAACAAAGCCTTTGTACTCATTGTGACTTCTACAATCTCCAACCCAGCCTGTCTTTCCCTAAATTCCTGCATTCCATCACCCAACTGTTAGTGATTTCTCCTTTGATAGCACACAATACATGTGGGAGCATTTGAGAGGCTCGTGGAGTTGGCTCCCAACTCCCTCTAGCCCTCTTGACTTTTTCCACAGAGTCTCGAGTAATTCCGTCTCGGTGGGACTTCTGCCGGCCA